GGCTCTGGCTCTGGCTCTGGCTCTGGCTCTGGCTCTGGCTCTGGCTCTGGCTCTGGCTCTGGCTCTGGCTCTGGCTCTGGCTCTGGCTCTGGAGGTGCTGCTCCCTCTGGTAGCGTTCCCTCTGTCCCCTCCGGCTCCGTCCCTGCTGTTCCTACCGCTAGCGTCCCTGCCGTTCCCACTGCTAGCGTCCCTGAAGGTGCCAGCGCTGGTGCTTCCACCACCCCCTGCGACACTCTCACCGGTCAGACTGTTGTTCCCGTTGCTACCATGACCGAGGGTGGCTCTGCCCCCAGCGCCCCTGCTCAGTCCGGTGCCCCTGGTGCTCCCTCCGGTGGTGCCCCTGCTCCTAGCGGTGGTGTTGTTCCCTCTGCTCCCGCTCAGTCCGGTGGTGCCCCTGCCCCCAGCGGCGGTGTCGTTCCCTCCGGTGCTGCTAGCGTCCCTGCCGTTCCCACCGCCAGTGTCCCCGAGGGTGCCAGCGCTGGTGCTTCCACCACCCCCTGCGACACTCTCACCGGTCAGACTGTCGTTCCCGTTGCTACCATGACTGAGGGCGGTTCCGCTCCCAGTGTCCCTGCTGAGTCTGGTGCCCCTGGTGCCCCTAGCGGTGCCAGCCCCTCCGAGACCCCTGCCGCTCCTGCTCAGTCTGGCTCTGGCAACGCTCCCAGCGGTGGCTCCCCCGCCCCCAGCGGTGGTGTCGTCCCCTCCGGCGCTGCTAGCGTCCCTGCTGTTCCCACCGCTAGTGTCCCCGAGGGCGCCAGCGCTGGAGCCTCCACCACTCCCTGCGACACCATCACCGGCCAGACTGTCGTCCCTGTCGCTACCGAGACCGTGACTCCTGTCCCCGCTGCCACCTCGGTCACTGAGGGTGGTTCCTCTCCTCAGATCACCACCGCTCCCGTCGCTGGTTCCGGCTCCGGCTCTGGCTCCGGCTCCGAGACTGAGGTGGTTACTGTCACCGTCACCGCTACTGTGAGCGTTTCGGCTTGCGACTGGTAAGCTTCCAACAGCAGCCTACAAGTTACGACGATAGCAACGGCATCAATGGTGAATAGTCCTCCTGTATATACCTAATTTTCTAATTCTTATTATTGTGAAGATTGTCTTGAATATCTGCTCGAATTTGTACAAGGCCAGGGGAGCAGGATGTCTATAGCGGCGAAGCAGGTACAAATCTTTATTTTCTGGCTTGATTGTTTGATACTATCCCACCTTTCCCTCCAATGGAGTCCATTCGCTTTGCCGATGCAATGATGTGTTATTTGAATACCTGTACAGTACTTATGATGGAGGATTGTGCGAAAGCCAACCTCGTCCTGAATGTTTTATTTCTTCATTTCTCTTAATCTCGATCCGATATGCCAAACCAACGTATCTCCATCCCAAAATACTCTGTAGATCTTACTACTTTCTTAGCATCTTCATCTTACTAACAACACGTGTGGCCCCCATCTGCCCCAATCTCCCAAAGCAGTAATGCAGGAGACAATCCTCGTTCTTAGTAAGACAGTTCCCCTGTCCTCCGACGATCCCGTCAATCGTGATTAGAGCCATACCAACGAACGAACGAACACCCCTCTAATTCGAATCCCTGCCTGTTAGTTAGCTAGTCTATTTACCTTTACTCATCAAGGCTTCCAGAACCAAGCCTACTCATCCCACTCAGCTGACAGGGTCTGAGCTAAACACGAACCCAGTCGATCACAATTAGAGAGCACGACACAGCCACGCAGCTGTCACTACATCATCAAGCGGCTAAGGACGGGAGATGATGTACGTCACGACAGCGGCACGGCAGTGGGTAAGCTGACGAAGAGAGATGATGATGAGTTGGAGCTTATGCGTACGAGAAGTAAGTAGTTACTTGGTTAGCATGGTGGGAGGAGAATGGAGACGACGGGATGGGGAGGACGTCATCCATTATACGGGACGAGTATACAGTGGGGGGTTATGGAGTACTGTTGTGGGTAATGTATGTTTTAAGCTCTTATCGAGATGATCTTATACGTAGTACTTTGTATACACTCGGTGTGTTGTTGGTGATCTGCAGTGCTGTCTTTGTAGGTGGATTCAGTGCTTAAGATAGGTTATAGTAGTCAGGTATTATTTATTGTGAGCCTTTGAATGGATTTTAATCGTTGGGTCAGTAGTACGTAGTTTGGTGTCTGTGCTAACGATGGTGGCAGTTGGGGTATAGGGGGCTGTTAGTATGGATTGTTCGTCTCGAGGTTAAGGGGGAGGGATGGGTGGGATGGATGGGATACGATTACGAGGGGAAGGATATTGTTTGTTTTGGATTTTTCTGTGCACATGTATCTTTTTAGAGTGGAGTTTAGACACGCTCATTATGTGAAGTGGTGTTATAGATGTTATCAACTTCCCTGGTTCAAGGCCAACTGGTGAATACCTGAATTAGATAGCCTCCTCAGTCATGAGTCTGTAACTACAGTGTAATTCCGTTGTAGCTCTATTAGCAATCTAGCATCTATCTCCTGAATCGATCTAGATACCCATTGAATGCATACTTCATGTAGGAGCGAGACATAGCCTGTATACTACCCCCACCTCCCCTGACTCTTCAGCACATAGAGTAGGGGCATACTCACACCACCTCCCCTCCCCAGCTAACCACAACCAACCACATATTAAGATCTCCCCAATAACTGAGCATCTGCTATACCAACGGCTCAACGGTCTAAATAAACCGACACACAATAGTCTCAATAGTCGATCAACCCAAAATTCAATAGTCAACCTAGCCTTGTGGAGAATGTCCCGAAAACGGTCGCATGCCGGGTAAACTTTGTTTAAATCAAGTGCGCTAGTAGTGGTTCCCTCCCCGGACTGATATTTGGGACGGAGACTATCTAGTATCTACTAATCCACTTGCCGAGCAAACTTTGCTGTTCGTTCCGCGGAACTGGGATTGCGTAGTCTGAACTTTGAAGGAAAATAAATTAAAGTATGATGGTACAGGGGGTAGTTGGACTATTGACGGAGATATTGCTGAGACAGGCATAGGATGCAAACTCTCTTTTTTGTTTATTGTTTATAGTGACATTACCACGTGTGAATAGATCGCTAAATATTGAGTTGCGGAATCCTCCAATCCTTCGCTCTTTAGTGGGGCTTTGGTATGTGGTTTATGTAGGTGAAGCTGAGTGTGCCCTGAACGGTAGGACATGAGAACTACCTTGAAGATGTAGAGCTACCTACCTTATCGCTCGAGGCGGTCCGGCGCATCGCGATGATCTTCTCGCGGAGCAGCTTCTCGCGTAGTTCGGAGCTGGAGATGCGTACACGAGCTGCGTTATTGGAGGGAACAGCAGTCTGCAATTAGGTGGTTAGTTTAGGTCTTTAGAGTGAGAGGGGCAGAGCAGAGTTGTGGGCATTGAACGAACTTAGGAAATCATAGATTTTGTGTGAAGAGGACCCTTAGAAATCATTCACCCACCTCAGTGGCATCCTTCATCTCGTGGTCGCTCGAGCTTGGCTTCTCAGCCGGCGGTGGTGATCGTCTGGCGGCATCCTCGTCTTCATCAGCCATCCTCTTTCGCTTATCACTGGGGACGGATACGGAGGACGTGTTGCGCCGTCTCCGTGCAACTGGGGCATATCTCTCAATGGACCGACGACGCTTCCTATCCCTCATGCGGCTGTGGCTACGGCTGCGACTCCGACTCCGACTGCGGGAATCCTGGCTGGCGCTGCGGGAACGGCCTCGACTGCGGCTGCGGCTGACACTCTGGGATGAGTACCGGCGTCTGCGGGCGTCATTGCGCTCTCTGCTGCGACTCAAGCGACGGTCGTCACGGGACTTGCGGGCCTTTGCAATATCAGCGGTGGATTCTTTCTTATCATCTCGTGAAGAGTAAGGCGATGATCCTCTGCGTCTGGTGCCGCTACCATCCGACCCTTGCGACCTCGAACGGGACCTTGATGCCGAAGAACCTCTTCTCCTGCGTCGGTCTCTGGGGACAGGTGAACGCGATGCACTGCGGGAAGAAACGGATCTCCGTCTCCGTCGGTCTCTTCTGGGACTACGTGAGCGTGATGATTCACTGCGGGTATTGGATCTTGCACGATCACCGTAATCAGGGCTGCGTCTCCTGGGCCTCCTGCGATCGCCGCGGTCCGGGGAGACAGAGCCGCTAATTGACCGACGTCGTCGGTTCCGGTCGTTACCAGGATGGCGCCGACGTGGTGGAGGTGAGCGCGAGGAAGAGACGGAGCGAGAGCGAGAGCGGCTGGGCGAACGGGATGGCCGACGGCCTCGACGAGAGCCTGAGGGCACGTAGGAGTCGAACTCTCGTCTGCCAGGCGGACCTCGGAAACGGTCACGGCTGCGCTGTCGCGGAGGCGACCGACGTCTATCAAAGTCTCGACCACCGCGGCCACCGCCTCTTCTTCCTCCCCTTGAGCGCTCAGATCTTTCTCTGCGTCGAAGGTCTTCAAGTTCTCGCTCTCGCGCGCGCTCCTGTTCCTTCTGTTTGCGAGCTTCCTCGGCGGCTCTTTCCGCTTCGATCTAGTGATAACGAGGGCGTCAGCGCGAGACCAGCAACCCGGACATCCGTAAAATATCCCACCTTCTCTTGGATAAGCTCCAGTTTCTTCGCCTCCAGCAACTCCTTGGGTACACCCTGGGGGTTTTCCTGGGCACTCAAACATAGCGACCACAGCTCCTTGCAAAACTTGCCAGTATCTTTATCGAGAAATCCGGTGAGCTGAATCTGCAGGGACTTGATATCGGGCTAAGATAATGCAAAGTGAGACCAGTTAGCTTGGATGGCTGAACCCCAGGTAAAACATAGCAAATCAGCATGGAAGGCAAAAGGTAAAAGGTCGTACATACAAACCGCGACCCTTCCAAAAGGTTAAAGCAAAGCTCAATAACGACGTCATCTTCATTTCCCAGGATCTCGGAGATCTTTCCAGCAATCCATCTGCAATGATTTAAAGTGTTAGTTCCAGACCCGGGTGATAACAGCACCTCGCGATAAGAGACTTAGCTGGGGCTTTTGCAACGCACTTCTTCATCACCTCGATGTTGACCTTGGTCATGTCCACCTTCCGGCTGAATTCCGGAGGGAATTTGGTCTGCTTCAGCAGCTTGGCATCCACACTTGTCGCCATGGTTTCTAGTCCTAGTTCGAGAGAACCAACAGCAAGTGAAGAGTCGACAATAGGTACAGCGACCGGCGCGTGAACAGCTGCGGTGTTGAGCCAGCCACGAAACTGCGGGTTGGGTGTTTGTCGATGCCCGAAGGCCGGAGTCGCAGTCGGACCGATGATAGCTTCAATCTTGCCTTTCTGGGAAGTACCAATGTTATAGGAAATACCTCTCATACTGTACTTGACTATTTAAAGTACCAGCCGACTCGCTCCTTCAATTTTCAAGTACTGCCACTGAAAACTTGCTGGAAGTTCATCTCAGGACATTGGAGAGACAAGGGCAGGGTTGATCATATCTATCCAGGATCTTATATAGAACCTCGAGAAGATCCTTTCAGGAGGAAGACCGGGTGGCTACTACGGTGTTTGTTTGAATAGTTTATAGTACTGGAGCAATATTCAATAGTTATATGTTATATGTGGTTCGGCCATCTATTTAATCCAAGTCTGCCCTTCATACCTCTCCTCGCAATGGATCCGGCACCCACGTTTCGAAGTCCACAGCTCCGGCCGTTCCTCAAAGGCCCAGTTCCGTATAGCTTCAAAGTCGCGGCAGGTATGTACGATCCTGCTCTCTGCCTGCCATCGCGGTATACTCTCATTCCACCGCCAGTGGATGGTTGATACATCCGAGCTGCACATGAGACTCTGGCGGATGGAATCAGAACAATGGTCGAGATGGATCCAAAAATTTTTCACCGCTTCAGGGTCACTCATGTTGAGGCCCATGTCATGACCCCAGGCCTTTTTATGAAGGTGGTGCTAGTAGGAAGGGGTGAGTGGATCTGTATACCTGTTCAAGGGGAAGAAAGAAAAGAAAGAAAAGAAAGAAAAGAAAGAAAAGAAAGAAAAGAAAGAAAAGAAAGAAAAGAAAGAAAAGAAAGAAAAGAAAGAAAAGAAAGAAAAGAAAGAAAGAAAGAAAGAAAGAAAGAAGATCTCACATACCAGACAATGAAGTTGATGAAAAACATCAAGTCCAATCACATACATGCCTGGCTCAGAGGCAAGTGGTAGAGTATGGTTGATTAGATTGGCCGCATCGGACTGTGGGATCTTAATAATGCCATCTATTCTCAAAGGAAACGAAGCTAGCGTTGGCAAGTGTGTTTCAACCGGGAATTGTGGGCAGAGGGCAAGGTGTTATCATACAGTTATACAAGTCCTCCCACGCTTTATCATAGGCGTCACTAGGAGGGCCCATGTACGGGGTCCTAGACACAAAGCCGCTGTTAAAGGTCACCGTTTTATAATCTATGATCCGATTTGCCGGCGCTGCTCCGTACAATCAGCATATAGGTACTAGATAGGATGGTCCTCACCTTGAATGACCCAGAAGCCAGTAGGGGGGATAACTGACAGAATATAGGATTTGGAATGCAGATATCTTTGGAACCTTGGATCATGTTGAGTAGTCCATATATATTGAATGAAAGGCTGATTCCCAATATGACGGAATATAGATATTTCGAGAAGGGGGTTCGGCCAGGGCGTGAATGAACTGCATCTGTCTGATCCAACAGACCTCCTCGCTCATCATCTTCAGGCAATTCCTGGTATTTTGGCGAGGCCATTGCAAGAATATCACCGACGACTCTGAACTTGAGATTGCAGAGTAACGGTAGGTACTGAGGGGTCTGGTTAGTAGAGTATCTCCGAATGGCATTCCAAGAAGATGTAGTACTCTATTGACTCATGAGCCCTGTGGGAGAAAGTTATCTGATAATTCTCTACTTTCACGGAAGCACGACGGCTCGGGATTATCCAGGGGACACTGTATGTGCTGATCTCACCTTACTTCAGTGTGTACAGCTTCGGGGGCGCTACTCTGTGGACGATATTCGTGTGAGCAATTATTTCTGAACAATCTCCAATCTGATGGCTTGTACTGGCTTTGGGAGGATTTGCTTATGCATGATCAAGTTGACTATCTTCCCGTATTCCCGAGATAAAAAAAAAGGAAGGGGATAACTAGGACACAGGAAACAAGCAAAAACAGATGATTATTACTTTCGAAACTTGATTCAACCAAACCACTCCCCCCAAAATTGCAAAAAAGAAAAGAAAGAAAAACCCCCAAAAAATATTACATTTTCACTCCTTTAGTACTGACTCGTCAGGAGTTGCTTCAACTAGCAGGTGATAGATCAGCTAAACCGACTTTCTGCTCTTTTAGCTCTTAAGCGAATGTAGACTTAACCATTGATTGCCCAGACTTAGTCCAACGCAGTGTAACCACTGTGTGCTATAGTTGATTGAGATGACCGGCGGTGACTGATGCTACGCAGCCTTACTACGCCCTTCTCCTGTGACCTGGCCCAGAAGCTGACGGCTTTCCACATAAGTCTACATTCTTCGACAATGCAAGGCGTCTTTCTGTATTGGACTACTGCAAAGTCTTACCCAAAGTGAAGATCTTTCAGTTCAGCCAACCATATCTTTCCTCTGATTGATTGAAAGACGTGTTACTGTAACCAGAGACCATGTGGGGATGACCGCCGTAAATGATGACTAGAAGACCTTAAGTCGAGTTGACCAATGTATAAAACCCAGTGCGAGGGGCCCCAGTTCAAAGGCACCTTTCATCAGTCTCTCTGACAGAACAAAGTCCCTCAATTAGATAAAGAATCTTTGTTTATCCATCTTTGATCTCTCTTGTCTCTGACAAACGTTTGTCCTTCAAAATGAGATACACCCTGATCAATCTCGTCCTGGTCGGTGCGGCTCTGGCCCTACCTGCTGTGAGTTATTGGAACATAGAAATATTCCTGATCGCTCCCTGGTTACTGCAAAAAGTTGTCTCTCTACTACTTGCTGATCGTTGATAGGATCTCTTGGGTCAAAACTCCAAACGTGACAACCAGGATACCCAGGAGGCTACTGCAGAAAATGCCTCGCCTAAAACCGGCGTTCTAGGTGTATGAGATCCCTCGATACGATAATAATTAAATTGCTGATAATAGATCCGTGAAAAGGATGTAACAAGTTCTCTTGTATAAGGCCCCTTGCCAAGTATGATTAATTAGCGCTTGCTAACTATGAATCAGGGAAAGGTTCTGGCAGGGATCTGACTGGTGCCGAGTCATCCGTCAAGCGTGACAACCAGGATGCTTAGGAGGCTACTGCGAAAGGCTTTACTGGGCCATTTGGTCCGGGCCTTCCGGATGTATGTGATCCTTGGTTAAACTGCGTCAACTAGTCTGCTAAAGAACTGCCTGAAGGGTGTTGCATTTTGGAGATCTGGATGGTTTTTGGACTATCTGTCAGGCGTGAATACCAGCCCATTAGACAATATCCTGCTGAACCCCGGCCGGGATTATGAACACCTGGCGAAGAGATTGTGCGGGAATACCAACAAACTCGATAGTTTGAGAATGGTATACAGAATAAAGAAGGGTATTAGATCCTCAATACTCGTTTTCATAGAAGCAAGCACAGTAGCCATCTTTAAGTGAACATTCTGCAGGCCAGAAAAACCAAGCCAACCTTAATACTGCAGACAGAGATGGCAATCTACATAAGTAGTGACCCTACCCAGTGATAAATCCATAAGGCTTCCTACCAGGAGTAGCATTCTAGAAGTCATGGCACCTTCGGAACGTCAATCATGCATATTAGTTCTTTGCAACAATACCATACAAAACATCGCTGATGACGCCAGCGCGAATTAACCATCGATATACATAAGAGAAAAAAAAGAATTCACAAACAACCTAGAACCAAGGTAGTACTTCTCCATACCTAGCTAAGTTCCCTCAGCACTCGGGCTACTTCCTCCCTTGCACGCGAGAGTTCCTCATCAACCGTGCCTAGCGCATGACGGGCCTTGAACTCGTAGTGCAAGTCGACGAGTTCTTTTGCGCGACAAAGATCCTCGTTTTCGTAGCTTCCTGAATCTAATCCAGAGTCTGATAGGTCTGTGTTTGTTGCTTTGAGGTTTAGTTGGTCTGTGGTTTGGGGTATACGCTCATTGACGGTAACGAGAGCGAGGGCGTCATGGTGGTCCTGTACTTAATCATTAATTGAGGTTTCTTTGATGAGAGGTACTAAGGATGTTCTGTTTGTAGAAAAGTGCTTATATTGGTCCGTAGTATACATATAGGCTCAGTGGGTTAATAGCAAAGGCACATACACAGACGCGTAGGGATGTCAGATCGGAGAGGATCTCAGCTACTTGCATGGCGGTCTTGGTTCGGATCACTGGGAAATCTGGTGGAATACTGCAACAATACGATAGACGAAGTTGAAAAGAGGCTCTGTTTTTCAGGTTTGATTCAGATGATTATGTACAGACGCAGTGTGATGAATGTAGCTAACATGCAGTGATAAGAACACCCTTCAGGAATTGAGCGGGTGACGTAAGGAGCAACGAGAATAACAAAACATTCTCAGCTCATCACGATCTTTACCCACAATTCCCTACAAACAACTGTCTACACATATTTTTTAAAATCCCATTAGACCATAGAGTAAATGCCATTATCGCAATCCCACTTACTTCCCCACACAACCCTCTTATCATCCCCAATCATCCGGCTCGACCCTCCGAATCTCGGAGAATCCGAGCCTCTCCGCACGCAGCGCGCGGAGCACCTTTCCGTGCGTCGCATCGGCCGAGCTCCGACTGGCCGATTATATTATTATCCGCCAGGCCTCATTGCCTCTACATTCCATTCCCACCCCCTCAACTATTCTTCTTTCCCCTCCATCCTCAAGAATTGAACACTTCATAATGGCCTCCGCGATCAGGGCCAACTGCAGAAAGGTTATCTGCATCGGCAGAAACTATGCGTATGTTCTATCCTACCACATCTCCGCATGACGAGGTCCCGCTAACGCAGTCTGTCAACCGCAGCGACCACATCACAGAGCTGAACAACACCAAGCCCAAGCAGCCCTTTTTCTTCTTGAAGCCCGCTTCCGCTATCCTCTGCCCCGGCGAAGGTCCTGTGCTGCGTCCTCAGGGAACCAACCTGCACTATGAGGTCGAATTGGCGTTGGTGATGGGCAAGACCGTTCGGGATCTGGACCCGAATGACGATAAGGGTGCTTTGGATGCGATTCATAGTCAGTCATGACCCTGTGCAGTTATTCTCTTTGCAGATGACAAGGAGTATCAATGAGCTAACCATATGGCATTTTATTGTGAATATAGGCTACCTCCTCGGTATTGACATGACCGCTCGCAACGTTCAAGAAGAAGCAAAGAAGAAGGGCCTCCCGTGGACGATCGCCAAGGGCTTCGATACCTTCCTGCCTGTCTCTCAGGAGATCACCAAGTCGCGTCTTCCTGATCCTCACAATGCTTTCCTCCGCTTGAGCGTTGGATCGCAGATGCGCCAGGCCGACTCCACCGGTCTGATGCTTTACCGCATCCCCAGACTTCTGGCGGAGATCTCCCGTGTCATGACTCTGGAGAAGGGTGACCTTGTCCTGACTGGTACTCCTAAGGGTGTTGGTCAGGTCAAGTCTGGCGATGTCATGAAGGCGTCCATTGAGTATGACGGCAAGGAGCTCGAGGAGGGTCGCATTGAGGTCGAGGTCAAAGACCGCGAGGGTAGATACCGGTACAGTGAAACCTAAATGCTGGCTGTCTTGAACAAGATATATGTATCAGATAGACACTGTATATACATACCCTGGTTCTCTTCCAATATAGACTATCTGGAATGAAAAGTAAGTTGGTCCCTCAACGGCGGTACATTTCCATAACAATGCGTTCGTCCTCTTCATCAGCTGGTACAATGGGTATGGACCTTCTCGTTCTCGGCCTTTTGCGCTGGACCTGCGAAACACTTGTCGACTCGAGTTTGTCATTTCCATTACGCGTTTCGCTTTCCTTGACTGGCTCTTGTATAGGCATTTCCCTGTCCTCAGTAACCTTCAGCATGACATCCCTCAAAGCACTCCAAGACCACCCAGCGTTGTTCATCTCTTCCTCGATCAAAGCCTGGATGCCAGAATCATCGAGACCCCGTACAACAGCTCTGACAACCTCACCCTCATCCCTCTGTGCCCGCAATCCACATCTCATCCCCTCAGCAGCAACCAAATAATCAGCCAACGATCTCCCACCTTGCTTCAAAGCACCCTCCAAATCCGACCCATATTCCTCAGTCTTCTCCTCACCCACCGAGGAAGGCGTCCCCCACGTAGTATCAGAAAGCGTCGACGACAACCCACTCCTCCCGACAACACCAGGAACCGAACCCATAGGCATGGAATCCGGAACAAGAACATCAGACCCAGCAGAACAAGCCTTGACAACATCCCCTCTCCCTCCACTCCCTCCCCGTTCCATCAACATCTCTCTCACCTCATCCAGCACCCTCACGCGAATACCCTCCTCCATTCTCTCTTGTTCACGAGCACGACTCTCCAACCCATCAATCCTACCCCGTAACCGACGATTCTCATTCTCAAGTTCCTCAACCCGCTCAATACCAGTTCGTAGATTAGTGTCGAATCGAGCTTCAAGTTCCTTGAGGCTATTCTCTAGTTTAGCATTTTCTTCGCGTGCTCGTAAATCTAGACGTTCAAGCTTGTGATTCAGATTCGCTATGGTATCATTGGCAACAGCGAGGTCGGTTCTGATGATGTTGAATTGATTCACGAGTTGGATGTTTTCGCGTCGGAGCTCGTGGGCCCAGAGGAAGGTGGCTGGGTGGGGGATGTTGGCGTTTGGTTGTCGGCGTGGGTTGTTCATTTGGTTTTTGGTGGGTTCTTTATTTAGTTGGGATCGAGTTGCGTGGGGGATAGTGGTTGTTGAGATGGGATGTGTTGTGGAGGATGTGGAGGATGGAGGATGGAAGGGTGGTATACATAGTATACTATGCTTAGGCTGTGTCTATACGGAGTAGAGTCCCTACATGTTGGAGCGCCTTCCACAAATCCAAGGGTTGAAGATTGACTATTCAAAACAAACTAATGGAATGGTATGTACCTCTCTTGTCTATACTAGTGAACACAGGTATACAACCAGTCCGAGCCGTAATCGTATCTTCGTCCACCCAAAGTGCCTCGAGGAAAAGAAAGCCTGATTGAACTAATCACATTTTTGGCCCGACCTCTTGGTCAAGTATGAACGCAGCATCCTTAACCAACCAGAGAGCGAGCTAGGTACAGAGCAAAGGAAAAAGGTGTGAAAAAGCGTTTCCGGAAGAGAACCATGAATTACAGCAATAAAATCGCACAAGCGTGTCGCATCTCCATAAGCAATAACAGACAAAGGAAACCATAAACAGAACAAGACGGAAACACGCAGACTAAGACGGTTCCCGCTCGCCACTGCTAAAAGAGAAAATGCTGGAGACACAGAAAGCCACTTTTTGAAGGATTCTCCTTTACCAAGAGAAGCGCAACGATGTCAAAACGTCTTTCCCACCGCAGCTCACCCTTGGAGCGTTATTGGCAACTGCATTCGTAATCCGCATCGAGGGACGTTAGGTGATGGTATTAGGGAGTTTAGATGAGGTCTAGATGCCAGAGTCAGTATGAATGGAAAGATCGTAAGAGTGTGGGTCAAGTCCTGCTTACCAGCAACGTTCATGGGCATCTCCTCGATCTGGGTGCTGTAGAACTGCTCAATCTCACGCATCATGCGGACATCGTCAGCGGTGACGAAGTTGATGGCAACACCCTTACGACCGAAACGACCACCACGACCGATACGGTGGATGTAGTTCTCACGGTTGGCGGGAAGGTCGTAGTTGATGACCAGGGAGACCTGCTGGACATCGATACCACGGGCCAGAAGGTCAGTGGCGATCAGGACACGGGAAGATCCGGAACGGAACTCCTTCATGATAACATCACGCTGGCCCTGCTCCATGTCACCGTGCATGGCAGAGACGGTGAAGTCACGGGCAGTGAGCTTGTCGGTGAGCCAGTCGACCTTGCGGCGGGTGTTACAGAAGATGACGGCCTGGGTGATGGTGACGGTCTCGTAGAGATCGGAGAGGGTGTCGAGCTTCCACTCCTCCTTCTCGACAGCAATGTAGAACTGCTTGATACCCTCGAGGGTAAGCTCCTGCTTCTTGACCAGGATACGGATGGGGTCACGCATGAACTTGGTGGTGACCTCAAGGACATCCTGGGGCATGGTAGCAGACAGCAGGGTGACCTGGGTGGACTGGGGGAGGAGCTGGAAGATGTCGTAGATTTGCTCGGTGAAACCACGCTGATTATGTTGTTAGCCAGGGCACATCTTCTCGGGATCGATCTGAAATAGACTTACAGAAAGCATCTCATCAGCCTCGTCGAGGATGAAGAGCTTCATCTGGTCGGTCTTGAGGACACGGCGCTCAATCATATCGTGGATACGACCGGGGGTACCGACAACGACCTGGGGGCCGGCGCGGAGGGCGTTCATGTCGTCACGGACGTTGGTACCACCAATGCAGGCGTGGCACTCAATGTTCATGAAGTCACCGATGGCGACAACGACCTTCTGGATCTGCTGAGCCAACTCACGGGTGGGAGCGACAATCAGAGCCTGGCAGGCCTTGAGCTCCTGGTCGATCTTCTGGAGAGCGGAGATGGAGAAAGTGGCAGTCTTTCCGGTACCAGACTGAGCCTGGGCAATGACATCGTGGCCTGGGATGCTCTAGTTAGCATCACAAATTATGGGCGACCGTGCGGGGAAAACCTACCGGCAATGATGGGCTTGATGGCACGCTGCTGGATAGCGGAGGGACGCTCGAAACCGTAGGCGTAGACACCTGGACGTCGTCAGAACATGTTGGCACAGACCCCACCAGGGCGAAGATAAAATTTGTATCACATACCGCGAAGCAGCTCGGGCTTCAGGTCCATGGAGTCGAAGGAGTCGGTGACCTCATCGTAGTTGGTCTCGATCTGTCCTATTGATGTGAAATTTCTGGTCAGCATAATTCTTCGAAGGACATTTCGATGATGGGTTGTGGCGATTATCTCTTTCTTCTGCTGGCTTGAGAGCGAGCCCCATTCTCCAGCAAAGTAGAGAGATATAAACCACAAATTTGCCGTGAAAAAAATGAAGCAAACGATATAGGAACACATACCCTCGGGGATCTCCTCCAAACCCTTGTCGTTAGAAGCCATGATTGCGGTGTTGTTGAAAGAAGATCACAGGCGAGATGCTGTGATCGAAGAAGACGGTGGGGTTTTGGGAGTAAAACTGGAAAAGGCTTGTTAGCGATAGGCGAGGATGGTGGGGGAGGGCGCAATGCGCAAAGAAACACTGGGGAGAGAGCAACGAACCTGGTAGCACAACTCTCGGGGGATGAGAGATATCACAAAGACTTCAAAAGTCGTAGGGGTGGGAAGAGAAAAGAAGTTCAAGTTGGATGACCGAAGATGGTGTGGGAAAATGGGGGGACCAGAAGCGGCGGGACGAGCACTGCGAACTTTTTTTTTTTTTTCTCTTCTTCCCTTTTCCTTCCCTGTGTCTGCCATTTTTCCATTTGTCGCGGTGAAATTTTTGATTTTTAGCGCCAATTTAGCCTAGCCGATACGCACCGCCTACCTTATCGGGTAACATACCCACGTACTTGCCTTGTGGGAATTTTGTCATTATTTCCTTATTCGCTGGCAGAACTACGGAGGGAAATCTATGGTAATATTCTCGTTGCCCAGGAGGCAAGTCTTTTACTGCGTAGGACGAGTGTATTGCCGCTTAGCAAGTCCACAGGAGCGGTGTTCATGGGTGGGTTGGGCATAAGACCCCCCGTATCTTCCCTGCCTGACAGCCCTGGCCGTTGGTTGTGTGGGCTGTTTATTACTAGTCTGTACCACCACCGCCGCCCGGTCTGTGACCGGTCTAGTCGTTCCCCACCCAATTGGGAAAGTTCCTACAATTCAATGCCCGTCTCTTTCTTTTTCTTCAAATAATAATCATGAAAATGCCGGATATCAATTCCTTGGACTGTGCTCGTTCTCTCGGCGGTGCAGTAGCTGCCCATAGCTACTCTTCGCATCCAGAGCCCGATGTTGAGGATCTGTCTGGCCATGAAGAAATTCCTGGCCATCCTCTGGGCGTGAAGCCTAGTGGCAATGCTTTGCTCGCCGCAGAGAACCTGCGCCATGCAATTGGCACTTTTAACATCCTACCGGATGAGTCGATATTGATGTTGCTCGAATACCTCGATGGTCCCAGTCTGTTAAATATAGGACAGACATGCAAGGCATTCTATGCTTTCACCAGAGCCGAAGATCTCTGGAAAGCTCTTTTCACCGGGTGAGATACAGATCTTTGTTCTTACATTATTGCTATTGTCTACATCTACTTGCCAGGGGACTGCTTATTCTTGTTGATACCTGGGACGTGGCAGTCTACTGTCTCATCGCATTTGTAGAATTATAGCTAGACGGCCTGGAGCATTGCACTAACGCTTTAGTCAGGTCTCCTCCCGCCTCGTTCTCATGGAAAGGAACATGGCGCTCAACTTATCTTAACATTCCTCCGTCGGAAGAGTGCATCCTAGACTGCTCGAATTTATTCTCGGATGTCCTGCACCGGCCCTTCCACTGCGCCCATATATCTTTAGATCCTTACATTAAGAATATCCCTGCCCGCAACCAAATTGCTCGTCTCCCCGATCTCTCTTTTAAGGAGTTCAATGAAAAATGGAGCAACACGCCCTTCATCTTGACTGAGCCTGTGAAACAATGGCCAGCTTACAAGAACTGGTCCGTAAACATGCTTTTGGATCACTACGGCGAGGCTGTTTTCCGCGCAGAGGCAGTGGACTGGCCTTTCCATACTTATGTTGATTACATGCACAACAACTCCGATGAGAGCCCCCTCTATCTGTTCGACCGGGCCTTTGTATCAAAAATGAGTCTCAAAGTCGGTCAGCCGGACCAGGAGGCTGACGCCACTTACTGGCCTCCCAGTTGCTTTGGAGAGGACTTCTTCTCCGTGCTGGGGAACGATCGCCCTGACAGGCAGTGGCTGATCATTGGACCCGAGCGGTCTGGAAGTACCTTCCACAAGGACCCGAACGCTACCAGCGCCTGGAATGCGGTTGTTCGTGGTTCAAAATACTGGATCATGTTCCCATCGTCTTCGAAGCTCCCGCCGCCTCCGGGCGTCTATGTGTCAGACGACCAGAGTGAAGTGACTTCCCCTCTGAGCATTGCCGAGTGGCTTTTCGGTTTTCACGCGGAGGCACGACGTAGCCCAGGCTGCATCGAGGGGATTTGTCACGAAGGCGAGATTCTCCACGTTCCTTCGGGCTGGTGGCACTTGGTCGTCAACATTGAGCCAGCTATTGCCATTACTCAGAACTTCATACCCCGTGCCCACCTCAGCGCTGCGCTGGACTTCTTGTCTAACAAGGCAGACCAGATTTCAGGTTTCAGGAAGGACGTGAACAATCCCTACGAACGGTTTGTGGCGCAGATGCAGAAATCGCATCCTGAGCTACTGGAACAGGCGCAGGCAGAGCTGCAGAAGAAGAACGAGGGGAAGAAACGGAAATGGGACGAAATTGTGCACGGAAACCCAGAGCAAGACGGAGGTGAGACCGCCGCAGGAGGCGGTTTTAGCTTCGGGTTTGGAGATGACAGCGATGTTGAAGTCCCCTAATTGCAGTATCCGCTGCTTGCAAGTGAACGCATGAATGTTCATTAGACGAGTATGCAACTGATGCTGTTTCCAAACGACAAGACGACCACAGCTACCTAACGAGGCTACTGCTAAGAATATGCCCGGATCCCGCCAAAACTTCAGGCAAGCCTTCGTGCTTACAATCCATTAATGACAAGCAACTGTTTTGCTGGCAGAGGTATTGTCTCCAAACGCCAAATATCCCACAAAGGCACCAACGGCAACTGCGAGCATGACGAATCCATTGTACGTCATGAAGAGCAGCCTGAACAGTTAGAACTCGTCCAAGTCGAAGAGGGAGTGGATAGGAGGGTGATTAGAAGTCTTACATGATGAAAAAGCTATAGAATACCTGCACAGCATACAATGCTGCCATGGTGATCTTGCCTCTTTGTTCGACGGTCCTCCGGCTATCCCTGCCTACAACTAGGGGTGAGCCGGTGTTCGGGGCAGGCAGCGTCTGGCTAGAAGGGACATTGGCCGTGGCAGAATCGTCGTGGACCTCGCTGCCTTCACGGTGTCAGGTGCTTCATCCCAGCAAAGGTTGGGCCAAACCAATAACCAGCGCTCGAAGATGTGGAAGAACCCATGACTCCAATATCCCCGCCATGCATTATACAGGAAACATAATAGATGCTGAGATGTACGTACCTCCCACAGCAACCGTAGTATATGCACTCAGCCTCCTAGCATGAGCTGCTTCGAACCGCCTTGTAAGCTGTCGAATTCCCTCGTAGCCGGCCGTCAAAAGGACGATGACAATAAGTGAACCCAGAAGGGACCAGGTGCTAGTAATGCGCCATTGGGGAAAGACGATGCAGAGGTTCTTCGTAGACCAGGTGAACAGCATCTAGCAAGCATCGTTAGCCGGACGAGCTAGGAGAGCAGTACGTTGTAGCAAGCAATGGTGAGCTCCATTTCCCAGCACCGCTTGCACTCGAACCACTATAGATTAGCTACAAGACACTCACATTCATACTGCACTGTCCATCACCCATATCCATATCACCATGATCATGACCATGGTCCATGTCCATCATGCCATGCATTGAGTGATCCATCGCGAAGTCAGGCCGTAGCAAGTCCAACAAGTAGAATAGTCGTTGATGACGAAGTCAAGTACAATATGTACAGCGAGCTTCAGCGTAGCAAATATAACAAGCCTCTCTCCAGATAAAGAAGCCAGCAAGCCACACCGGTAAGTTAGAGAGGGAAAGAGAGCAAGGGAGATGGGGAGATGCAGCTCCCAGGTGTACGTAAGTTGACGGAGCGATAATGTGACGCGGATGCAAACCAGTCAAACACCAACGATAAGATCTGGCGGCGATCATCATCCAATCCATCCATTCATTCACTTCCACTTCTCTTCCGCTTCTAGATGCTAAAGATCGCGACACCACCTCCACCAGTACACTCGTTTCAATGCGCGCTCGCATCTAACCTAACCGACCCCCCATCTCAATCTCCCCATCATTGACGCTTTCCCGCGACTACAATCACGTCGCCCACCACCAAAATGGCCGAACCCGCCGCCGCCGCTGCAACACCGGCCGCATCAAGCGCCCCAGCACCAGCAACAACAACGACCAGTACAGCAGGCCCAACTTCCACCACAACCACCAACTCCACAGCGCCCAATTCCACACCAAACAACAACAATGCCAATTCCAGCTCCAACTCCAATTTCAACTCCAACAACAACACAACCTCAAACAACACCTCAAATCCCAACCCCAACCAATCCAACGACTCCTCCGCTTCATCAACCGCAAACCGCGGCCTCCCCTACTACGAGAAACTCCGCCGCGAACTGCGCGACACACTCCAGAAGAAGCGTTTAATGGATAAGAGCATGGTACGGACACTCCCCCCATCCCCCCCTTCAACTTCCCCGTGTCACGAACCAACACAAATAAACGACAGGCCCAACTCGAAGACCAAATCTACCGCTTCGAACAATCCTACCTGGAAGAAACCACCGCCGGAAACATCATCAAGGGTTTCGACAACTACATCAAGGGCTCATCCAGCGGGGCCGGGATCGGCGGAGCAGGCATTGCCCTCTCATCGAGTATGAGTGGTGGAGGAGGCGCTGCGAGACGAAAGGCGACGGTGTCGGACGCGGATCGTGTGTTTTCGAGGAGTTCCGCGAGTTTTATGCGGGTAGGATTACTTTTCTTCCCTTTCTCTCTATTTCCGTCCCCTTTGTGTTCGATTGTGTGGATGTGTGGATGTGCGTAAGCTGACGGGTTTTTTGTGTTTGTGTTTAGGATTCACCCGCACCTTCATCAGCTCAAACGACGCCGTCGCATGCCGCGACCCCGAATTCCACGTATAATGGATCTACTGGCAAGCCTGGGAACGGCGATGCATCGTCTGCGGCGAATAGTGTGAAGGGGGGCCAGGCGTCGAAGAATAAGAAGAAGTCTGCGGCGAGTAATAAGGACAAGGGGGATGATGATGGGACAGATGGGGATAGGCCGCCTACGAAGAGGTTGAAGATCACTTACGGGAGGGATTGATATATCATTTTATTACTTCGTTTGATTTCATGAGAGTTGGTTGGAGTTGGTAGGTTCTTTGCTGGGTTGGATAGGGAGCTGTGGCGCGCGGAAAACTACTGATTATATTTGTTCGAAGAGTTCGCTGTGTTTGCTAGGTTTCGCTATTTGTCTGTGATATCCTCTGTACTACTAGATTGCATCGGCATTGCTCTGCTAGACTATACATCTCAAAAGATATGTCACTTGGTGTTAGGAACTACAGACAATTTTCCCTTTCACTGCATGGGGACTGACTACAGCTGCAGTCTGCATGTCGCGACCTCGAAGGCTCTCAGCTCGATATCAATGCTCGTGGTCTGTGCATCACTCTTGGACAAGACCAGGCTCGTCTCGTCATCCTCAAGGATATTGCACTTCCATGCCTTCTTGACGGGGAGCTTGGTATTGATGGTGCCACGGCTCTTACCACCTAGGGACTCGTAGATGCGGAGGATGACGCTCTTCCCGGCACGCCGTGGCAGCTCGTCACGAGACACGTCTTCATCGTCTTCACCGCGCTTCACTGTGTCCAACACGAGTGACGGGGAACCGTCCAGCGAGATAGACTTAAACGCATCGCTTGCCTCCTGACCAGATGCGGGCTCCAAGGCAAGAGGATGGTTAAAGCTGTACCCTGCGCGGATCGTGCGATGGTCCAGGGGTCCTGCGTGCGGGAGAATCGCGTAACGGATACGATGATGGCCCATATCTGCATGAGCATCTGGTGCCTTCGGGGCACGAAGCAGGGAGAGGCGCATCATGTTACCGCAAGTTGCAAACCCATACTTGGAATCATTGAGGATCGAGACACCGTAGCCATGCTCAGACAGATCTGCCCACTTGTGGCAGCACACTTCAAACTTGGCCATGTCCCAGCTGTAGCCTATTAGCACCTGCATATGTGGAAAGAAGGGTAGAAATACCTGGTGTTGTAATGAGTAGGGCGATTGATGATTCCGTACTGAGTCTCGTACGATGCTTGTGTGTTCGTGATGTCGACAGGGAATTCGACCTTGAGGAACTTCATAGTCTCCCGCCATTCAACTTCACTTTCCATCTCAACATAGGATGGCTGGTCTCCAACGGCAGCAGCCAGGCTGATAGTCGTCTTGACCCAGCTCTTGTCGCTTATGCGGGTCTCAGTGACCACGCTGACACGATATGGATCGTTTTCAGCGACAGTAGTCTTCCCGGATTGCAACTCTTTCCTCGATTCGAGGTGGAAGACCTCAACGTCCCACGCTTGCCAGTAGAGTGGTTTATCGTCGAAAATGACAAGCTGATTAGCCTTTTCGCCCTTGGCAACGATTTCGCGCTTTTCCTCCAGATCGTACAACGATGTGATGACTCCGTCGTGCACATCTACCCTCAGTTTTTCATTCTGTAAACGGAAAACACCGGGCTCGATCTCGGAAACAGTCACAGCAGGCGCTCTGCTCGAAACTGTAGGAAGCTGGCCCTTGATAGGACCACTTTCACCACTGACAATGGCGTACCTAGGGCCACCCGCAGTTGTAAAATCAGCAGGGACCTTGACTACTTCTGAGCGAGGCCAGGGCAATGTGTTGATTGCGACAAGACCCTTAGCGGTGCTGCTGCCAAATCCAAGAGCTTGGAGGGCTTCCTTCCGAACCTTGTTGCCAATTTCGAAAACCTTCTTGTATAGCTCTTTGGAGTCATCGTAGCACATCTCGATGCTGCTACCGGGGAGGCAATCATGAAATTGGCACAGAAGTACATCTTCCCACATCTCGTCAATTTCCCCCTTGGGGTACTTATACTTGTCGGCAGGCTGCTCAAGAGTAGCGAGAGTAGCAAGGTATTCAATCTCCCTAAGCAAGAACTCTGACTTGCGGTTTCCCCGTTTGTTGTTGGCCTGCGTGGTATATGTACCCCGATGTAGTTCGAAATATAATTCACCATACCACGTTGCGAAGCGGGTACCTTGTTCTACCTTCTTCTCGAGCTTTGCGAAGAATTCATCGACCGAATTTCCCATCTTGACACGAGGAAGCAAGCCAACCTTGTCACTGAGACCGCGGCAGCGGCGCAGCTTCTCCAGATGTTCAAAGGTTGGCCCGCCACCACCATCGCCCTTGCCGAATACTAAGAGTGACGTGTTGTCGTTGTCCATTGACTTGTGTTGAGTCACGCTACGCTTCACGTCACCAAAGTGAGCGCTCGCAGTGTATGTCTCCGCTGGTGGCATGTGGCACATAACCTGGCTCCCATCGAGTGCAACCCAGAGGAATGTGGTGTGTGGGAAGTTGTTGATATTATTCCAACTGAGCTTTTGGGTGAGGAAGCGACTCATACCGGCTAGACGACAGATCTGAGGTATCTGCGTAGAGTAGCCAAAGGTATCCGGGAGCCAGAAGGTTGTACAGCGTTCACCGAAGTTTCTCTCAAAGAAGCGTTGGCCGTAGAGAAACTGTCTCACCAGCGACTCTCCGCTGGGCATATTGGTGTCATGCTCGACCCAGCTGCCACCGATAGGCTGGAAGTGACCTTTCTTAACCCACTGTTTGACGCGTTCAAAGACAGATGGATAGTATTGTTTGAGCCACTTGAACTGCTGTGCCTGCGAGCAAGCGAAGCGATGCTCCGGGTATCGGTCCATCAAATCACATTGGTTTGACCAGGACCGGGCAACCTTACGCTTAGTCTCCGCCCAGGGCCACAACCAGCAAGTATCAATATGGCAATGCCCGATAGCGTAGACGATGGGTTCCGTGTCGGTCTCGTACACTTGGGAAGAATCTACTTTACTACCCAGGTACTTCTGGGCTATTTTGCGTGCCTCCTTGATTGATTCATTGCTGCCTTCCCCAGCAATGAACGCATCAATGATAGCATTGCCGACCATATTGGCCTCATGCGACTCCCAGCCATCACCAGGGAATTCCCTGGCCGCATCTAGTGTACCAAGTCAGTAACCAACGACGGGATAGTCTATCGCCTAGCAGCCAATAGCGGCACAAGCTGCTTAAAGTTACTGGTCCGAACATACCTCCAATAATCCAGAAGTCGTAGAACAATGCCCGTGCCTCTAGGTTGACGGCCGTGATTTGAGCTTTGTGCAAAGTATAGTATTTGTTAGGGTTGGGCGGCTGGATGGAATCACCCCCAGGCGCATTTCCAAACATGCCATTGCAGGCCATCTCGATGTAGAAGGTATGTTCCTTCCCATCCCGCCAGGCATCGGGGATGATCCACTCGATACGCTCGTTGCCACCAGTGAGACCTTGAAGTGGTCGACCCTCTTCCGTCCAGACTAGACCCTCGTTGTTTGCATCCCAGTGAAACTCCAGGCGTTCCTTTTTGCGCATGTCCTCCGGGACCGTCAGGCGGATGCGGAACCAATGAGTGGACCAGCTTGGCCCGAACGATGCTCCGATGTGGGTAGGTTTAAATTCATTGGAGGTAGCCTCTTTGAAAGTTGGGCGCTGAAGGTCAGGGACGGAGTATACCGAAAGCTTGACATGGTCTTCGTCGGAATTGACGGCCTCGTTCAGCTTGCTAGTAAATCTTTAGTATAGTTCGGACGCAAGATAGACGATCGGAAGAATGAGAAATGTGTGCAATAAGACCACAATGAGAATGTACTTACGAGATGAGGTTCTGGCCTTCGTACTGTCCGGTGGCGGTGAATTGCTTGAGACGGTCGGTGTAGATGCTCTTGATGCGTTGACCGACTGGGCCGGCGGGAGTCTGGGGAAGGGCGCTGGGAGCTTGCCGGGGAACGTCTCCACCCATGGTAGCGGGTCTAGATCAGTGGAGTGATGGGATAAACAGATTTGGATGCAACGATTGATAATTTAAAACATTTGATAGATTCGAATGAATCGGATGATCAAAAGAGGAGGGAGTTTGCTCAAAGGAAAGAAGAGGGGAAGTGAGGAGTCGCCAGGAACGGCCAGGAACACGACAGGGCAGGTGACATGACGTTGGATGCAGGCATTCCTGTGCTGATCCGGGGTGGCTGTTATGTCAGCCATTCATTCCCCATTGCCTTTTGCGGAAGACAATAGAAAGATGGTGTGAACAGATACATTGTCAATTTTCAATTTTTGAAATATTAGTGTTTTGGTGAGAGCATTAAATTGGTTTGTGAAGTTTAGTCGGATTTGGATGGATGATAATAGTGTGGTATACTGACCCAAGCACAGACATCCATCAAGCTCGAAGGCTCGCGTCCGACCACCCCGAGCTTACGAAGGCTGCACAACAATACGATGTCTACCTGGCCTTCTACTTACCGCAATATGAGCTAATATATTGGGTGTCAACTAGGATTGACATGACCCTGCCATAGTGAGTTGACCCTTGTCTGCCAACGTTCGGGCGTCCCAGCCACATGCTCTTAGAAGGCCGACCAGACCTAGCGCGCTGAACTGTTACTTTTTGATGGATAACATCGATAGGCAGTCTTTAGTTGGCACATCGCCATCGTACTCAATGGCAGTGGCCGCTTGCGAGGTAGAGGTCTGACGGGACTATAGCACCGTGATAAAACTTACCTCCTGCATCAGTATATTGCAGCCATTGCACACATCGTTCTATCAAACGATCGAGGAACATCTTCTTGGGCGATAAGACTGCAATATCTGCTGAAATCGATAGTAGTGTGACTGGGTCGCTGAGCAAACTCAGGATAGCTGCCTCTCTTCTTAAACTGTCCAATGTCCACAACTAGCCCTTGGCATCCAGATACTTCATCACGATTGATCGACATATGTATCGAGCTCCGAGAAGATCAACATTGTACTATGGACCAGGAACACAAGCAGTACATATACTAGTAAATAGCAGCACGATTAGTGGGGTGCTTGTAGCAATGTCAAAGGCAAAGGCCATACTTGAAAATTGTGGCAGTGAGCATCGCCTACTTTAAGTATGATTAAGATCGTATTTATAATTTTTCGAGCAGACTTTTTCTGCAAGTGTTATCCACCTTTAGGGTGGCCGGTGATGGAGTTAGGTTCGGGTCACTCTTTCTGCCCTTTAGTCGGCTTAGAGCCGTTGGCGTATCAGCTTGTGTTGTAGCTGCATCAGAAAAGTCTGTATCCCTCACTAGTAGGGGCATCAAAGTCTTGTTCCCCCGAGATAATGTTGTTGCAATTGAATCTTCCAACGTCATGGTCGGAGAGACCATCAGCTATCAGCCGTATCACATGACCGTATAGTACTTCGCCCTCCGGGTTTCCATTTCTGGAAACAATTTAAGGTTAAACTGCACCCCACGCTGGAGAAAACAGCGGCTCTTGGGCAGACAACCGTCTCACTCGCCAATAATGGGCTTTTTCTATCATTTATGAGAGCATTTCACCGCGAACATCAGTTACTGACTAATAAATATTCTTCTTGCCGATGGCAGACACTCTCTGAGTGACATCATGAACAAGCGGGGTTTTGAAGGATCTCCATTAGTCAGCCAGCTTGGGCAGCAGCCCAGTAGCGCTAAACCCAGAAAGGCCAAGGAATTCCCGTGACAATTTTCCACGGACAGCGAGCAGGGCAATAGCAACCGGGCCAAAGTAATATAGGTGCGGGGCAGTGGAGGGGAGAAAATCTGCTAAAAAATCACTCGGAGTCAAAGAGAACCTCCCAGAAATTAAAACCCACTGACATCGACTTTCCTAAAGGAGGAAACAAATCCCACCACCGCCATCGGACTATCACCTAGCTATTTCCTCGGGGGTTGCAGGCGTGTGCCTCGATTTGTAATCCCCCATCATCAGATAACTCCGAAAATTCGCTGATAACCGTCAAAACACAATCTCTGCCACTTTCCCCGCCACCCAATCACAACGCCGTCAGATGACAATTGAGTCAGCCAGACGAAACCCAAAACGAGCATCCGATCACGGCCACTGATCACTTTTGAACCTCAATTTCCACTCCCTTCCATTTATACCCCAACTATCTCCTCTCCCTTCTCCCTTCACGGACGAACTCGCAGGTAGACCGACACAATGGCTCCCTCGTTCGTGACCATCGACACAACGCCTGATTTCGACATGGCACCCGCCCCCTCCTTCCAGCCCATGTCGACCGGCAGCCCCTCCAAGCGCACTCTCCTCCTCGCTCCCCCCTCCATCGCCACTCAAGAAGAGAAGCTCCGGGACCTTTTCACTACCTTTGACCGCTCCACAACCGACTTGCAGATGCTTGACCGCATATCTGCCGGCTTCGTTTCCCTCCCCGCCAACACCTACGATCACATTGTCGTCCTAACCGATACCGATGGCACGCGGCGGTCGGAGGCTCTCCACCTGCTCACGCGGGATGTCTACACCGCGTTAGTTCCCTGTATGAAGGCGGGAGCGAAGCTACAGACCCAGGATAACTTTTTCGGAGAGGCCGAGGAGCGCGAGGCGGTCTTGGCGGGGCTGATCAAGACCGATGCCGGATTTGAGAAGATGGACCAGCCCAAGTCGTTCGCGATTCCTCTGCGACGCAATGGGAAGAAGAAGGATGCTGTGAAGACAGAGACCGTTGCTCCTGCACCTGCGCCTGCCCCGCCCGTGCAGCCTGTCACTGTGGGCATGATTAATAATGACGACGATTACGAGAACGACGATGATCTGATCGACGAGGATACCCTGCTGTCGGATGAGGATTTGAAGAGACCTATTCAGCGTAAGTCCCATTCATACCTCGATAATTCTTGTGGAATTTGAACCATGCTAACAATGCATGCATCACAGCCCCCGAATGCCAGCCCAAGCCCGGCCGCCGGCGTCGCGCCTGCAAGGACTGCACGTGCGGACTCGCAGCACGACTCGAGGCAGAGGAACAAGCGGAGCGGGAGAAGGCAGACAAGGCTCTGAACGTGATGAAGCTGGAAACGGAGGACCTGAACGAGCTGGACTTTACCGTTCAGGGTAAGACAGGCTCGTGTGGAAACTGCGCCCTGGGCGATGCCTTCCGGTGCGCGGGCTGTCCGTTCATCGGATTGCCGGCATTCAAGCCGGGCCAGGAGGTGCAGATCCTGGAAAACGTTGCGCAGTTGTGAAAGCTTCCTTTTCAGTTCTTCTCAGGTCGGGTCTCTTTATTAATTTCGGTTCCTTGTGGGTTGGCTGGTTGGTTTGCTTGGACAGGCGATGGTTGGGCGCAGGATAAAATAGAATACCTTAGTATCTTAGTTTAGCCTTTGATTTATCATGACCTAACTCTATGAAATATATAGGGTTGCATTTAGGAATATCAGTGACCTACTATTCGTTCCTATTGCATCGCTTGATAAACAGAATAGTTGTAACCTTACTGCACATGCAGTACTGCACCTTCCAGCAAAAAATAAGTATAATATGCAATCCAGCAACTTGCCCACACCATCGAATTCAAACCCATTGACAGAGCCCCAAGCACGAACCTCATTCCCACCATCCCACTCCCACTCCCACACACTCACCTTATCCCTCCTACCTACCTCCTCCTCCGTACTAGTAGTAGTAAATACACCACATCCAAATCCCAATTCCATCCATCCCCACAATCATGGCAAATACTAGCACAAAATCTCCCAAGAAACAAAACCCAAAAGTAACACAACACCACAAATCCACTGGAATGAGTTAGAAGTCGCACAGCATTATCCATCCACCCCATCCCTAGATCACTACAAATCTATAATACACTCCTACTATAGAAGAAAGATAATATAGTATCTACTAAGCAGCTAATCAGCTGATATTATAGCTAGCTTAAAGGGTTAGTATTCGAAGCAAGGGTTTACACAGTATGCACAGGTATCGTAAATTTATTTGCATGCTTAAGACTACAGATACGTACAGCTACAGCCACGATGAATGTATTTCTATATTATGGATAGGGATGAAAGACTTGGGTGATTTGAGTTGGTCAGAGATATATGATGTTTCAGTAGCAAATTACAAATGTCTATGGTTGTCAACGGATACTGACATTGTGTTTAATTTTGTGCCTAGGGGGTGAAAGACAGGGCAAGGGTTAGGGAAAGGAAAGAGAGACATTTGATCCAGGAGAATTTCCTAGTCAGATCATGTGCGGGTGCTGCATATGCAAGTATTGGGGATTGATATGTAAGGGATAGGGCACGTGTTGCATTATCATCTTACAGTATGGGTTGCATTCTTTTGGGTGGGGTGCGGTGTATTCAATTACTGCGATTATTGGACGATTAGTCTGACTGTTTTGGGTTGTAGATGATAAGATTCGATATTGGGTCATTATAAGCTAGTATTCCTCAATGTAATATACCAAAAAGTTGAAGTGGCTATAGATAAAGCATCTATAGGTGCATCCCCAACGCCAAGCAGAGACCCTGAAAATGCCAACGGGATATCACGGTAATGACTAGAGTTGCAGGACAAGACGAGAGTTGTAGACGTAGAGAGTGACCGGAAATAATAAGGACAGGCTAATTGGATAACATGGACAATGAAGCGAATGGGATATCATAAACATAGAAAGGAAAGAAGACGGAACGAGAAAGGAAAGTCTGAGAGGAGAGATAGTGAGCTTTTCGTTCTAAATCCATGGATCGGTCTGTCCGTAATTGTTATTGTATGGACTGACTGGTCCGACTAGTCGGATTTGTGATTTCAGCTCTGTGTGCCGTCGATCGCCTCGCACCCCGATCATCTTCTTCCGCGCGCCGTCAAGGGCGTCGAGGATATGATGGGTGCCGTCTTGGATAGCTCGGACGCAGTCCCGAGTGTTCTGCTGTAGTTGAGACCGGGCGGGTGGCGTCAGGGGTGGCGTTGCGGAGGACACAAAGCCCTTCTTTGACGAGCGTCGTTTCCGATAGCGAGGGAACCGAACATTAGGGCTCTGTCGGTAACTGATGCGCTTCTCGCGACCTGGCTTCTCCCAGATCGCCGCACCGTACTTCTGATACGGCGACATCGGCACTGCTAGCTGCTTCTTCCGTGGGGACGCCAGAGGCCGCGGGTGCGGGCCGCGCGCACCCATGGTTGAGCGAGTGGACATGCGCGATAGGCGTTTATTCGAGGGTGAGACATCCACTGGGCTCAGAGGAGACCTTGGACTTCCAGGATGATAATATTCGTCGGTGGTGGTGATCTTGCTCGATGGCGTGGGGGTGCGCACAGGATCCACTGAACCTGCTGTGGGGGGTGAGGACCGATTGCTCTTGTTTCGTTCCAGGGAATTTTTCGACAAGCGCCGTTGCACATAGGAGCGAATGGAATTGCGCACGTCCTGAGCGAGGGCGCGTCCACTTCGATCGGATGAGTTCCAACGGTTGCGGCTGGCGAAGTCGAACACGGTGAGGTTCAGTTTACTGCCGTTCTTTTTGCGGGGGTGAGTGGGAAAACGCGGGGATGCCGGGAGAGCCGACGGAGTAGCCAGCTCAGGGAAAAAGTCCCATTTCTTCTCCCGGAAGTAATGGTTGGGGCCAACCCGGTTAGCGACCCAGGGTTGGGCTCGGTCGGAGTGGTCATCGTGGAGGAAAGTAGTGGTGATGGCGAAGGGTGCGGACTTTGGATGGTCATTGTGGTGCTGGTGATGGTCGTCATGCTGGTACGGGTCGATGGGCCCGGTAGTGGGTGGATGATCGACAAGCTCGGACAGATCGTCCGAACCAGAGCGGACAAAAACAGGGTAACTCTCGGACGAATCCGCCGAAAAGCGTCGGCTGTCATCGTAGAAGCTGGAAATGGTACTACTGTCATCACTCCATGCAGTGGAGCCCTCATCCATCGACGGGGTCTCAGGCAGTGGCTTGGGAGGCAGCTCAGGGAGCGGCTTATCAATATGTCGCAGTGCCGGGCGAGCAGGGGGCACTGGCACTCGAGGAGGAACGACTTGCTCTAGTCCCTCCAAGGACCGAGAGGGCCTCACTGGAGGGGCCTGTCTAGGAAGTGCCAACGAGGACGGAGAAAGCATGATGCTGTTGTGCTAGATGGAGAGGGGGGGGGGGGGGTTGGGAGTGGGGAGTAATATTCCCGTGGCTCGGGCCAGGAACTGGGAAGTATATCGTTGGCAGTGCCAGGAGATAGTTTATAGAGTTGGCACGAAGGGAGGGGAAGGGATGTCTCAAAAGACCTTTCCCCCTCCGGAAGGATGGGGGGAAAGAATAGAGAAAAACGTGGCAAGGGAAAGACAAGCAGAACCAAGAAGCAGAAGGAGTGAAGAGAAAGAAGCCGAAGAAGAGAAAGATAACCAGCGAGAGGCACCAGCCGGGAGGGAAATGGGCCCGATTTGGATGTTCTCCGTAGGCGAAGTACCAAAATTGTGACCCGAATACGGCCAGCGTCGTTGCTTTTTTGACTTTGCTCGCCAGTCGCCGGTCTTGATGCGATTTTAACCTTTTTTTGGCGTCCAGGATGACAGGCCAGCAAGCAGGGCAAGCAAACAATCACACGACCGTCACCCGTGCAAGTCAGTCAGTCAGCCTGTGGCCAGTGTCTTTATCCGGCAGTGTAGAGATAAAGAACCCGCCGGGACCATGGTTCAACAAGAAGAGAACGAGGGGAAAGGCAAAAAGAAAGGAATGAAGATGAACGAAGAAGGGAGGAAGGGAGAAGAAGAAGGGGAGAGAGAAGGGAGACGATAGGATGGAGTTTAAAGGGAGATGGGTTTAATAATAATAATCATAAAAATAATAATCATTAGAGGAAGAAGGAAGAAGGAAGAAGAGGAGAACGAGGCCGACGACAAGAAACTCAGCAGCGGATGGATGTGATGGGATCCATCAGGGAGGGTCGCCATATGCAGCTCGTCAAGCTCCGTCTGGCTGGTCCGGCCGTTCATCCCTAGATCCCAAGGAGTTCGGGGCGGAGTCCATGTAGAATTTTGGGAAAATCCATGGGATAAAAAATTAAAATAAATATTTAAAAAGCAAAAATAAAAAGCGACATATCTCAAGGGCAGTTCCTGGCCGAACTGCAGGATGGGATCGTCGTGGTCATCATCATGGGCGGGAATAGCCTCATGAGAGTGACACCCTCATGCAAGGGATGGACCGGGGGGTGTGGATGGTGTGTGTGGATGGTGTGTGGGTGGGCTTGCTGAGGGGCGCGCCATTAGGGTGATTTCCGTTCACTTTTCGTCTACAATTACCGGAAATTCTGGTTCTGGCTCTAGATAGAATATTGATTGAATGATTTGGAAGTTAGGAAGAACACAATTGACACAGAGGCTGAGAGAAAGATAGACATGGGAAGGTCCAGACATTTGATGGATGGGGGAAAGATCGGGTTAGGGCCGGGGAAGAATACGAAGCGCAATAACCAACAATTCTGGAGTCGCCGAGTGATCCCAGCTTACTTGCTTGCTGATTGCTGGATTGCTGATTACTGAACCCCGGAAGTCGATCCTTTCCTTCCGTCAGAAATGGGATCTGAATGGTTCATGGCATGGCGGGTTTATTCTTAGTGATTCTTAGTTGGATCAACACTAATCGACTCAACTAAACCAACTAAACTAAGTACTAGTCGCGCTGGTCGTTGCCAGTCAAACAAAGAAACCTGGACGCCGCTTATCCCTGGTTGCCCTCCTCCACAGCCCTCATCCTTCAGCCTTTCAGCTTGCACACTCTTTCTTACTCTTTTGCTTTTTACTTTCTCATTTTCTGCTATCTACCTAACTGACTTTTGGCATTTCACGTTGCTTACTCTTCTATCCCTGCACTCAATTGAACTTAATTCCGCAATGATGGCTTAACTATTCAGCATGTCCCCTCGTCTTTTGTCAACTAAAAAGACAAAAGAAAAGAGACGGAAAAAAGAAAAGTCTGCATAGAAAAGTGACACGCATACTCACTGTAGGGAATCACACAAGATAGATCATATTGCGGTATGGAGATCGCCTTTGACAGACCCTCTTCCCTTTTGCTTCTGTCCCTCTTCTCTGCACGCTTAGCGTGGCCTAGTTTTCTTAGTCGCGTTGACTTACTCCCCTAGCTGCTTCTCTTCTTCGTTGCTTATCCCTGCTTCTTTCTTTTCTTTTCTTTTTCTTCCCCTTAGTTCGAAAGGTACATATACTCTCCTATATGACAGGTAACACAGATAGTCTATCCAGCATGACATTCTTCTGGCTTCACCACAGACCAGAAGGATCAGTGTCGGTAATCACCTCTCATCAGGGCAGATAGACGGCAACCAACCGACGAATGACGCCTCGGGTTTTCTAGAACATCCCCCTAGCCTCAGCCACCCTACTTTCCAGCAGGGTAATCACTGCCGATGAGGTAAACTAGAACTCATTTCTCTATGACAGGTCCATCCAGTCAGGACACGTGCTTCAGGCCGGTCTCGCTCTCAGCATTCTTTGGATAGGTCATCCCCAGCGTCTCACAGTCCACGCCGCGATACGCCTCGTTCCTCCCATCCTCCACTGTTCGTTCCCTCCGCTCGGGATACTGCTACGTGGTCACGCCAGATAGCCCCATCGGAGTCCAGGCAACTATCCTGATGGCCCCCCATTCGACCGGAGATAGCTCAGAGAATGCCAAAACAGCAGCTCCACATTCGTCCGTCGCGACAGAGAGATTGGGCAGCTGGATGATGCAACGGACCCGGGCGGGCATAGTTCGGACATCATCGAATCGTGGTGCAGCTGAGCCTGAGGGGAGCTGAGCAGAACAGACGGTGGGGGTGGCTAGAGGCTGGCTGTCGCGGTACGCGCTGAATCTGCTATCTCATCAGCTCCACTGAGACGACAACTCATTCGATCGATCCACTCCAGCAATAAGCATGAGCTCATGATGAGGCAAGAGAGAATGCACCAAGATGCAAGTCTTCTGGAATCGTTCAAGCTTAGAGCCGGAGTGGGGCCTTTACGGCCAGGCTACCCACCGCCAGCATTCAAGATAGCGGCCCAGCATTCCACTCACGGGCATACCCGACCCGTTTCAGATCACTGTCGGATTGAGGCTGGTCCCATGGCAGCCAAGCCATGCTGCTGCAGGCAATGCAAGCCAATCAGTATCAGTAGTTAGCTGACGGCCTCCTCATTCAACCTGTGATGTCGCAGATTTCGCGAATTGCCCGTTTTCGGGAATACGGAAGTCTAGATTTGATTTCCTGAGACTAGCACCGTTGGCAAAGCTAACTCAAGTGTCAATCTCCACTAGCGATGAGAGATTAATGACGCTAGCATCGTTGTATGGGATGTCTTACTCTCATCCGCGTTAGGCGAGCAGACAAGGTTTGGCAAGCATGGCATTCCTAACCCTAATACACCCTCCAGAGACATTCCCCACTAGTAGACTTTCCGAAGACTCGAGTGGCTGGCGGCAAGTGAGTATCGGAAATCAAAGTGAGTTTAGAGTGACATTTCATCATGGTCAACACGGGCATGCCACACAGCCCGCGAGTCCAATGAGGTTGAGCCAGTATTGCAAATATAGATAGTTGCTGCATTACTTTGGGGTCGGTCACGATTGAAATCAGGCTGAGATGACACCCTCACCGTGATACCAAGCGGCTGCTTGTGAAAATGATCTGGCATTGGCTGTAGTAGTCCAGCTTTGTAGTACACATTAATTGCCTGCACTGCTTGAGCCACAGCCAGACCCGTGCTGATGGTCATCATACTTGGACGGAGAATGCGAGCTGCAGTATCAAAGCCAATCGAGCTGATCCCATGAGTGAACAGACCTGACCACGTGCAGCGATAGCCCCAGCAAACATTAAACTTCACCCCCTCTGAGTGCTGGCATCTACTCTTTCACATTCCATTAATCTTGTATCTCAATGGAAAAGCCACCACTTACAAGTCTTCTTTCCAGGTGTACCAATGCCATCGTATCCCACTTAGTACAATAACCACGAGCCATGAGCAGAACACGACCTCTACTGACCAAATTACAATGAACCACCACTCAACATACACCTACTCCTCTCAATCCATCTACCTTAACCCACACATTCACCCCCAACCAAATATACTACTACTCACATCAAACCATGCCCCTTACCAAACGTATCTCACCAGGCACAATCTCTTCTACCAACTATTAACCCCTCAACAGCAAAGAAGTACTTCCCCCTTTCCCATAAGTAATCACACATCCATCCACATACCACTAAGTAGCCTAGCCCAAATCAAAACTCAGCCACTCGCCATTACCACCACCACCCTGCACACGCCACGCTCACAATGACAAATCCCTCCGTGTCCGTATTCATCGTTTGTGTAACCAACAAATAAAATCTAAAGAATTGTTTGCGTCCGGAAATAGCTAGTATCAATCAAAACATGGGGAAATAATCAACTGCAGAGCGGTTTTAGCCGATAGGATTTGGATGCGAAATGCATGATATGCATGCGTGGACGTGTGCGTGGGATGCCATCACGGTTATTGCAAATTCAAATACCTATGCATTGTTTAGTGCTGTTGGACGGGTGTTTGCAGGATGGGGATGGGGTGATAATGGCAAGCGGAGTGGGAGGGGAGATAAGGGGATGGACATTGCATGTATCTCAGGGGGGGTGTGCTGATGTGGTTGTGGTTGTGTTTGATCTAGTGATGCTGGGCTCGCGTGGTGATGTTCTATGGGTGTTGTAAGAGACATCTATTCTCTTTGCCGTTGATTTAATTCATAGGGCTCGTTCAAGTATAAAGTATGGATGGTCTCTAAATAAGGCTATCAACACAGAGATCCAATAAGTACTATAAGTATCAACTAAGTTTAGCCGCCATCTCCATATCCCGCCTAGTCAACTGATCCCCTGTCCTCCGAATCGGACTTAACCGGCCCATCTTCCTTAACTTCTCAATGATCGCCTCATCCCCAAAGTGACTATTGTGCTCAAATTCCGGCTCTTCGGCATACGCAACCCGCGCCACATCAACCAACATCCGCGCCGTCATCCCAAACACCCGGTACCGAGTAACCTGCGAGGCCTTCTCCTGCTCCTCCAACTGACTAACCGCTTCTTTCTGTTCCTCCGTCCTTGTCTTCGGCTTAACCACTTCTTTAGGCCGAACAGGGACGAAGAATTGATGCACTGCTCCTAGTCAGCCACCACAACACGACCCAACAAACAAGAAAGCAAGCAAGCAAACAAACCAAAAAAAGTAATAATACTCACTCTTCCAATTCTCTTGATGCCACTCCGTCCAAGCCCCCTTATACCACTCCGTCGGATCCCCATCACCCCAATCCTCCATATCCCTACAGCGCAAGAAATTGCGAAACGGCGCCGTAAACACCGCCGCGACTTCGCGCGCATCCAACCTCGGGATCAGCGAGACTTCAGGATCGGCATTCTCGCCCGTCAGCTCATCGAATGAATGCAGTAGCGCCACACATGGCCGAACGACTAGTTCCGTTCGCGCTAGGTTGGCTGGGAACTCGCAGAGATGCTCGACCGTGAAGGGCCGAGGTAGGTGCTCGTCGTGTTCGGGGAGGCCGATCTCTTCTTTAGCTTCCCGGCGCGCGGTTTGGATGGGCGTTTCTGATAGGGAGTCGGCGCGGCCTGTGTTTTTGGTTTAGTTCGGGTTTGATATCAATGTGATGTAGCATATAGCATATAGCGTGTTGCTACGGTAGATCATAGGAAGAATATTTCTATCATCGTACGTAGCACACATAACAACCCCTTAGAGAGATGGCTGTGCCATATGGGATTAGAAAAGAAAGTGAGAGACAACTTACCACCCGGTAAAGCAGCCTGTCCAGCATCTGTCATATCACAATTAGCCACACTGCTCCATCTACAACACCGAATCAAGCGACTATTAGTGGAAAGAGGTGTGCAGGTATACATACAAGACCTCAACGTTGCCGCTCTCATCGTCAACACAACCCTCAAGTCCCCCTTCTGGTCCGCATACAGCAGCACCAGTACTGCGGCGCGGCGTGACAACGGGACCGAGGTATAAGTTGTCGGCGGGGGAGTATAGCTTCTTAATCTGGCGATGGCTTTCTGCGATTTACATTGTTAGTTAAGGACTTAGTAATTAGTTTGCTTACAGAGTGAGTGTGTTATTTTGGTTGGTTTGTTATTGATAGATTGAGTTTGGCGATGTTACGTCATTTGATTTTAGGGGAGGGGTGTATTGTGTAGATGAGAGGAGGTAGGTATATTATAAAGATGTAGGATGTAGGATGATGTACCTGCGAAGTTGGGTTTAGAGGGGGCATGGTAGTGGGATCTGCGACGTTAGGAGAGGTGTAGAAGTGGCTTTGACTGCTGAAGGTGCGAGGGAGAATGATCCGTGGGGAAGAGTAGAATTGGCGGTGCAGTATGCGATGGTGATGATGATGGAGGAGAGGATTTCGCATTGCAGGAGACAGAAGAAAACTAGGTTAGGGATGTAAGGGGTTAGTTGATTTATCTATCGATTGGCTAGCTCGTTACTTGGCCATATGTTGATGCAGGATTGATACTTTAGTTGGTTTTGGTGGAAGTACGGAGGAGTAAGTCACTTGATAAAGTTATCGGGTATGTTGCCGAGGTACTTGACGGAGGAGCCGCTGACCAAAGTTAAATACCCGATGGGTTGATATTACGCAGTTATTGGGTAGGTATATTCAAAAAATAAATCATGGTACTATCATTTAATATCCACGTCATATTTTTGTCCAGATCAACCGTCCAAGTCGACTAAGTAAGTATCTATTTCAGTGTCGGTAGGTCACAAAGAAAGAAGCCTGGTTTAAAAGGATATAAGAGACCCAAATTCGATGGTGTCCAACCACGGATCCCAGTGAAGAAACAAGAAATGAGACGAGTAAATAAACAAACAAGCGAACAGAGTCTATCGTATACACAATAACACATGGGAAGAAAAATAAAGGGAGAGAAAGTAGAGAGTATAGGCGTAGGGATCAAGAGGAGAAAAGAGATCTATGTCAGGTTCATCAACGCGGTATAAACGCCCTGTCGAAGCAAAGAGAAGAGAAGGAAGGTTGCGATTATTTCTTCTCTTCCTTAGCCTGGGTAGAGTGTTGTGCCTGAGAGGCTTTCTCGCCCTCCTGGACGGCTTCGCTGGCCTCACCCGCTTGCGTCTTGTACTTGGCTTCGTACTTGACGTCTTCCTTGTCATCGATATCCTCGATGTCCTTAGGAGCAGAGACGCCCTTCTCCTCGTTCTCGCTATTCTGCTCGTTCTCCTCCTCGATCAGCTCTTGCTGCTCTCTGATGACCTCCAGGCGCTGCTTGTTGGTGGCGGCGCCCTCGGCATTGTGAACCTCGAGCTCGATTTCGTGGAACAGCTCCTCGGGAATGCTAGACAGAACGGACTGGAGAGCCTCAATCTGGGACGACATCTCAGCTTCCTTACCACCCTGGGCGTAGACGTATGCGTTGCTCAGCACAAGAAGGGTGGAGGGGACGCCCTGCTTAAGACGCAGGTCCAGCCACATCGACATGTCCTCGCGCAGGCGAGCGGGAGACACACCATGCGTGCGGATACCACGGGAGGCGCATGCCATCTGCAGTTCAGGGACAGACAGAGAGTCCACACCTTCGTGGAAGATAGCGCGGTCATCGCGCTTGATCTGGCGCATACGGTGGCGGATGTTGTAGCGGAGCATGGCGTCCGTTCCAAAGGTATTGAGGTTCATGTACTTGCAGATACCCACCAGCTGAGGCCGAGAAAGGTTGTCGAGAGTCAGGTCATCCTTGAAAATCTTGCACACCTTGATCACGTCGTCGGGAGTGGGCGATTCTCCCGTGGTGCGGATCTTCTTGAAAAACTCGGCAAACTCTTCATTCTTGACGGTCGCAGCAGTGACCGGGAGACCAGACTCCTTCAGTGTGTCCTTCAGGAAACCCGAAACCTCCTTACGTGTAGAGCTCAGGCTCAGCGCCTTCTTCTCGCGCGCCTTCTGGCCCTCGTAGGTGCTAGGCAGCATGTTCGGGAACAACTTCAGGGCAATGGGAAGTAGCAGTTCCGCGAAGGGGATGATAACGAACATGGAGAAAGGCACAAGGCGACCCAGATCCTTGACGGTTCTTTGGAGCTACATACATATAATCATTAGCGGCGATCAATGCAGCGTATCCCATGCGGACTGTACTAACCTGACGATGCTCTCTGCGACTGAGTTCATAGCCCGCAGCCATCTTCAATGCCAATCTAGAACTTATTCTGACTTCCGTAGCAAGAAGCTTGGTACCATCCCAGTAGTGCTGGGCTTCCTTCTTGATCTTTTGTCCGATTGTCAGTTTCTTCGTCTCCTTCTTCTCCTCCTTCTTGCCATCAACATCCGCGGTCTTCGCCGTCGTCAGCTCAGCTGACTTTCCATTGTTCTGTGCAGCGATTTGAGACGAAATAGACTGTCCAGAGCTTGGCGCAACCTTCTGGACATCCTTGGAAGGCTGCACGTTGTCCGGGGGGAGGGGCTTCTTGGCCTGCTCTGCGTTGAAGCCCGGAGGGGGGAACGAGTTTGAGGAAGACGTGGAAGAGGTCGACGGATCGGTGGCATATCCGCGCTGCTGAGGGACTAGAAGGGCGATTGCCGACAGTTGAGATGGCAGACCTCTGCCGTTGAATCGGAGGTTTGCGGCCGTCGACGCAGCCAAGGCACCGGAAAGTCGTTGCCGGGCTGCATGCGAACACCGAGTTAGCGATCAAGCAGTCAAAGTCGAAGCCCTTTTGGGCCTCGGATAGACAAGAGATTCCAGTTTAACTTACCGAGCAAATTAGGCCGCAATACTGCATTGCCGCGCACAAGGCTAGCTGACCTCATTGTAACGGACATTGCGGAAACCTAGGGGATCGAAATGCTCGGAAGATCGAGCGAATGCAGACGGATGCACAACAATACAGAGCCAAATGCGGGACGTGACTTCAAATGTGACACACTGAGGAGAAAGATATGAAAGAAATCGGAAATCACAAAAGTAAGACGAGGTGCTGGCGTAGTGTCGTTCGTTCCCCGAGAGTCTGGAGCAGAGGTGGCTAAACACGTGACCGCGGCGACGTCGGACTTAAGGTTTGATCGCCGCCGAACGCAAAATGCGAGTCCGGCCGGCTTCGCTACTGGAAGCTTCGACTCCCAATTTCACCCCCATCGTGACTCAGTTCATTTCCCTAAGGATGGACTAACCCACTAGCTAACTATCCACACATTCATGTCATTAATTCGATTGTAAAGAGCGTCTCGTAATTACGGACCATATCACATCATCACGCAAATCTAAGAAATCAATCATATACTGTCATAAACAAAAAGCAGAAAATGCAGCACAGGACAGGCCAGACAGTAAGGAATGACAACAGATGAAGTTGGGTATCAACGAGAAACGGTTCCGATCTGGTCGGATCCACAAGTCAAAGCTATAGGCAAGAATCAAGACTCCTGAACGAAGCAAAGGAAGCATTATGTGAGGAGCTTCATGTAACAATCGTCTCAAGACCTTTCCCGGACCCCAGAATTGTCGGCAGCATGGCCGCTCTCTACACCTGTCGATTGCGCATCAAGAAGAGGGATCTGATCAACGCCGACTTTGTCGGATCCGCCACTGGCCGATTCTTCGAGACCCTTGGCCCCGACTGTCGCAGCATTGTCAGACGACAGAAGCGTTGGGCTGGAGACCCCTTCCGGGGACGATTGCCAGCGAGCAACATCCTTCTTCAGCTCTTCCAGTTCCTTCTGGAAGCGCTTGCCGAAGACGTCAATATAGTATGTCGCGCCGTTGTGAACGCTGAGAATGAAAAGACCGGTGAGGAAAAGACCACTCGCCCACCGAGACCAGAACCACAGAGGGCAGGGGATCATGGTCAATATCGCATACAAGTACTGAATCAGCATGAAAGCCGGAGCCTGGAGAGATTCGGGGAGGCTCAGGACGACTTTGCCGATCCAGGTCTTGGCATACGACTTGCGGAGCCAAGTGAAGCTGGTCGGACGTCCTGCAGCAATCTTCTCGGCACGACGAACAGTGATAAAACAGTGGTACGTCAGCTGCCAAATAACGTAAGGCACTGTTGCCCATCCCATCATTTCCAGGAGGTTGAAATGATTGGGCGAACCCGGTTCACTGAACTTGATCTCGTAGATCGCTGGGAATCGATCTCGCAGCGTCTCCGCTGACGTCATATGGACGAGACAATGCAAGGAAACGGGTGGCATGATGTGGATAAACAGACTACCCTCAAGTCAATGGTTGTTCAGAATGGCATCATAATAGCGAAGCTTACCTGACCACCTTGTCCATACTGTGGAAAACCATCGAGTTGCGCCACATGGCAATCGCAACGGCGTTGTTGCCGAATACCAAGCAAAAGGTGCTGATAAACAGCCTCTTCGAGCCAGGGAAAACCCAGAGACTGAGCATACAGAGCACATTGACAAAGTAGCATAGATCAGCCAAGAAATAGTGGTAGCCCTTTTTGTGATACCGGTAGTATCTGATAGGCATGAAGTAGGCCAGCTGCACGCTGAACCAGATGTAGAAGTACTCGGGGAACCCTCCAAGGAGGTAGCCGCTCACGAGGATGTTCATAACACCAGCGATGAAAGAGATCTTCTCACGTAGTGTCACAGTAGCGGTCGCGTTCCACTGTTTCCCCAGGCGTTCCACGCCATCTTTCATGCGACGGCGGTACTTGTCTAACTGCTCGTCGGCTGTTGGGACTCGTCTCTTCCATTCGCCCACAACACGTTCCTTCGCGTTAATGGAAGTGTGCTTGAGCTTCTCGCGTTGTCTCTTGACTTTGTCCTTTTGCGCGTTGAGTGCTCGCTGCAGCCTTTCCAGCCTTTGTGACAGAGAGAGGTTATCAAGCAGGTCGAACACCGTCAGTTGGTCTAGAGGCGGAAATGTCTCCCAGTCATCATGGTACGAAAAGGACGGGTTGCGCGACAGACGCCCAGGTGAGGCAGGTGGCGAGTAAAATGTATCAGGCGAGTTTAGCGTCTCTTCCGTTTCAGAGAGATCGTAGTCCGTGGTGGGATGCAAAGCAGGCGAGCTACTGCTAGCCACTGACTCTGGCTTCCTAGCATCAGAGGAACCACCGTCTTCCATGATGAGCCTCTGCTGAAAGGAAAATATCGTGGGACCGTCACGGGAGTGTGGATAAGGCCGGCTGAGGAAGCGTCCTATAGTTAGCATCCCCATGTTGTTTAGAGTAGATTATAGCCAAGCTTGGACTAAGAAGGACCGGTGTTGCACCCGGGCAGAAAGGTAGGGTAGATCAAGGGGCGAGTGATGGGATAAGGAAGACAGAGCAGGAAGTGATCCGAAACGGATGCGGATTCCTTATCAATCTAAGGCATGGTGGACGAATCCGTGGATGACTTACAAACAAATGCAGCGAGGTATACTGTATTCGAACCAGAGGATGGAATTCGGATGACTGAGTTTCTGGGATGATAAGGCGCAACCAGTGTGCTTCAACGCTCAGAGCGCATGACCGTAGAAGTCGGGGAGCAGAAGGAAAGATGCAGGAAGTTGAGAGCAAGTTGGAAGGATGAGGTTCTCCGTGTGCACGCGTTGGAGCTTGTGGTTGGCTGCTGCTGACTTGTCGCGACTTTGCCGTTCCAGACCGGCGATCATCTATCCTGACCCACCTGCGGAGTGCTGCAGCCAATAGAAAATTCTTATACTCTCCACATGATTTGCCCCCATTGGACCCCATGGTTCATTTGTCCCGTTGCGAGGCTTATAGTAGATTCCATGCCTGAGGCGGTTGGCATGTTTTCTGGGGCATTTTCAAGGGTCTCTCGGACATTTCGCTCTCCTCGCATTTTACTGTGTACACACTCATTACTACTTACTCCTTTGTGTGCTAAGAAGTCTCTGAGTAGTTAGCAGCTGCTAATGTCACCACACACATTTATTGTCTGTGCTCGATCTATGATCGACTAGACATTCAAGTAGATGCGTGTCTTTGTTTCTGGACATTTAAGCTCTACTGCAACTATGATTGCTGGGAACTCGTCCCTGTCGGCACCTGAACCCGGATTCTGGCTTGTCTGCAGTACTACTCTATAGTAGTGGCGAAGACCTGATACGCTCTTTCGAGATGTTCCTGTCCCCTGGAAATTATTACTGCTTTCGGCATATGCATAAAGCAGGGAGTAAGGTACTACCTAACAGACCCTGCCATGTCTCGCATCATTGGCTACTATTCTATATAGCTGTAGACATGGCGATACTGACTCAATTATTGAGCTAATCATCAAGGTCTTGTCTGGCGCCATACATATTCAAAAGACTAAGGACCGGCCGTGCAGTTAGTTATAGCAGCTAACTCTCGCGGCCCCTTGAACACCTGGCAGGTGCTGTACTACCCCGCTTCGTGCGGGATAAATCACTCAGTAGTAATCGCAGCAACCCAACATAAATCAAAAATAGATGGTCTAAGATATCTCCCTTTATCAAATTGTCTTGGTTCTCTTATATGCAACGAATGATAATGACTGTCAGTAAATGATTGATGACCACCTTTCCTCGCTGTTTTGCACCTTGTCCAGAAAATGAAATAATACAGAAAGTTGTCTATATCACAAATAGTATGTATCCGCCACTTGCGCCAGCCACAGTGCCGCTGAACTCCACGTATTCAGAGTACAGTCACTTCCCCAAACATGAAAACCCCCAAAAATATTGTAATACATAGGAAATTATGCAAGCGTAAATGGAGGGGGGGATCCAGATCTCGGCATGGCTAAGACCATTCAGTATATACAGAGCGTCATTTGGAAAGGGTCCCCGCCGTGCGTCTTTCAGTGATTTGCCACATCAGTATCCGTTATATGGTAGTGCCGTATGGGCCGGTGGGAGGCTCCAAAATCCAGGCTGGTGACTTTGTTCAGCAGATGAAGTGGCCATTTGCTGGCTACCAAAATAATCCGGCATGCATGAAGCCTCGGTGGGATGGATATCCCTAGAAGCACAGGACCCCCCGCTGGGTTCACTCCCTGACAGCACCGGTGCAGCCATGTCTGTTGAGTATGTAGACAAGCCGCTTTCCAAGGAGCTCTTCCGACTGATGGAGGGGCTGGATACCGGCGAAGGAGGGTAGCAGTAGTCCTGATTGGCGGAGCGTTTTGTTTGGTGATTCACCTCCATTGGTGGCAGGCGCCGCTCGTCGGAAGGTACAGGCATGTCAGTGTGCGATTTGTCCGTGGCGGCTTGCACTTCACTCTGGTCCCCAGGACTCTTGCTTCCCTCCGTCGCTTTGGGGGCATCTGGCTTGTTGTTCATAATCGGGAGTGACAGTTCACGAGAGTTGTTAGTTGTCTGGTCCCGTAATTCAGCGAACAAGAAGTCCTCATCCAGATGGACATGAGAAACGTAGATCATTGTGTCCCCGCCTATAGAAAGTGTTAGTCGCTTGGTGTTGGGGTGTGGCTTCAGTCCCCTAAGGTATGGAAGCGAATGCGTACTAATTTTGCCCTCCATGTACAATTCTTCCATATAACGAACGTAGTATATCTCATCAAGAACTTGTAGACGGCTCTCGGGCTGAATCTGGCGCCGCACATCTTGTCCAGCATCCTTGAGCTTCTCAGCGGTGATTCCTCGACTCTCCTTCAGTTCACACAGAATATGAACAAGCAGCCTGATTCTCTCTGAAGAGAGAGATGATACCAGTAAGTATTCAACTCTCACGATTCAACCCGATGGAAGCTAGGAGCATCTTACCGGCCTTTTGAAGATGGTCGGGCTCTTTGTGTGTCACCCCCGTAGGCCACCATTTCGGCTTAGTCAATTCAGAATCCATCTTTTGTGATGATCCTCCGGCAGCCCGTCGTCCATTGTATGGGTGGTTGACCTGCTTGCGCGGTTCCACCAATTTCACAAATGCTTTGGCGATAACCCTGCAGTTTAGCTGTTGGAAAGCTTCGAATGCCTTCTCATAGTATCGTCGCACAAGATCTGTTTGCCCTAGTCGAAGTGCTGTGCGCCTTAGCGACGGTGTGGGTGAAGCGGAATCCAAATCAAGTCCGATGCCCGAGAGTTCATGTCTCAAGCTACGCCTGTGACGCTTGTTTTGCAAGGACTGCCATTCACAGGGAATGAGGCCAGTCTGTCGTGGGAGGCTTGGCTGATACCATGTGTGCTGTAGGCCGATTGAAGGACTGGACAGAAGCATTGGCTTCCCCGTGACATCGCCGCTCATGTGACTCAAGGTGTCTGATTCGGGCAGGAACACGTCTTGGTTACTACTTCATCCTTGGCTGGCTCGGTTTTACAGTTGCCAAATCACTTACTGGAATGGAGACTCTGCAGGCTGGGTTGCCATGCTGTAGTCACCGACTTCAGAAATCGGTCCTGCACATCGTCTGTGAAAATTGCCTTTTCGCAGCCTGCAATGGACGGCGACGCTTCTATGCGAAGGCCCCCATTGTGGTCAATGCAAAGCATAGCGAAGTGCGTGTAACGGAAGTTGACTGCGGATGATGCACGTTGCATGTCCTACCATGACATGACATCAGTTGGATGATCCATCCTAGTTCAGACTGGGGAGCTTGTCCTTACCGTGTGGCTCGCCTGAGCAGTCATATCGTGATATGATAACATCTGATGCTGGGCTTTATTAGCTTTCGTGGACTGACCTATCGCAATGGTAGCACGGACCGGACTTGTCATACTCTACTATAGGAAGTCAGTGTCGAGCCGAGTCGCCTATGCTCACTCTTTACCGACTACCGACAATGATAATGATAATGGAATGGATAGATAAATTCAGATACTGCCACCTCACATCAACATTCAAGGAAGCCAATGGGGAGTTGGCAGCTTAAGAAGTTTCGTGTGCATGATCTTCAAGGCTCGGGCGACGGCCTATATAGGTCTGGAACTACCAAATATAACATGCCGAGGGAAAAAGAAACAAGTTCCTTCGGAGTTGATGACCGAAGGGCAATTACAGATGTGGACAAAAGTACGTTGGTCAACATTTGGCCATTGGATCATGTCATGATGTTCAACGCGGCCTTCTGGCACTTATGACGTGCAAACTAATGCAAGGAAAACAAATACATACAGAGTCTGACCATTAACTGTTACGGACAACGCTCTATCGTCTAGTCTGTTTCCGTTGCCATGCGTGCATGGAGCCTAGCCATGCAGCTCCCTCTGGTCTTTCCCGTTTGAGGCTTACGTCTGGCTGCCTTAGCCCCATCGCCTACGGAGCAGAGGATCAGTGTATTTAATGAGGGCTCGAGCGATACAGTGGCAAATGCTTATTTTGTTATACACATGAGTGGAGAGCTACAGATATGACACTCGTATTCATCTTCTGTTTCTTTACGTGGTTTTAATCAGTTCCGCAGAAAAAATGGTTGACCAACAGAAAGGTTACTTCTCTGTGCAAGGGTAAAGATGGGCCCAAGTCGAGAGGGGAACTAGGCGAATAGGTGCACTCCAAGCATCGAACGACTCCACTAAAATCTCAGGTCAAGGTCATTGGGTTCCGAAACACAGTGACGGCCATGCAATTCAGGGATCATGCATTTACGCTCGGCCTGGTTAATTTTCGTGCTGTACATGCCAGACTAGAACTCCCTTGGCCGGCAAGCTAATTCAAGGGATAGACTCATCTCAATTTACCAATCACAGGCGTCTCTGGGGTACAGTAGGTTGGCATATTTCTTTTGACGCAATAGCGCAGGCTAGCTGATACATGATAACTACCTTCGGGATTTGCAGGAGCCAATACACCGTATTAGGCAGAGGCAAAAAGTCACATGGCAGTGGAAGTACCCGGAAGTTACCATTGAAGAGAGATCATAGGTCAATGCAGACTCTTGCTAGCCTCTCATAGTGCTACGGCGAGCCGTGAGTATGGTGCCGTTCGCTTCTTCCTGTCATGCCCAGAGCCCGCAGGTCAGACTGAACTCTGAGTGACAGCTAGATTGGGTTGCTCAAATGAAGCCTAGCCACAAGAAGACTAGGATCGGCGTTCCGCCAGTGGGAATAATTCCTTTGTCAAAGTCCTCACGATTAGACTTTGCCGATACTGCCTCTCTCGCAGTCAGTGCGGAAATTGCGGAGTTTGGGCGTAAGACCTCAAGGACCACCCCTAGAGCCTGACCGCCGATCGCAGCCATACTCTGTCAAGTGTCAACGGCAACCATATTAGATTCTCATTTAAGGTTCAACTGTATCGCGTTGAGTGGAGAATCGATCATAGAGTGTCCTGGCTGCCGCACTATGAAGCCAAGACAACTCTACAACCCTTCGGTCTCGCAAACAGACCGTCCAAGCGGGAGATTATTTTCGCAACTAGAAACCTAGGAAAATACGTATCCTGGTTGTTTGGGAGGGGTATTGTGCTATGTCTTACACGGATAATACATCCTTAAATGACGATTGGGTCCGGTATTTCCCACCATTTCCATTACTTGCGGAGCCTGCGTCAAGAACGGCTAGGCAGAAAAAGTCAAGTATTACAACACACGGGCCCCTTGGCTATCGACTCGCGATTTTGACCAGCCTGGCAAGCCACGGTGGACCGATGATCCACAGAATGTTTGCGTGGAACGCTAGCCACTAGCCGGATGGGGTCTATCCTGTAGGTCACCTATTGAGCATCCAAAACACACACTGACAGATAGAGAAGAAAAGGGGGGATGAGCGCAGGGATCCATACCCATTTACCATAGTGCGTAGCGGGGACATCCCCTCTATAGCGCTTCTTCAGCTCTTTCCAGTCTCTCAATTTTAGCTTCCCGAACCTTCACTAATAGGGCCCTTGTAGGAAACTTGCAGACGGTGAGACATCCGCCTACGTACATCGTCCTGCAAACTTGCTTTCTTACCAGGAAACCCTGCATGATGGCTTGCATGCTTCAGCCCGAGTGAGCCATGACTACGGGTTAGAGAAGGGCAAGACGATGGGCAGCGAAGCAGAGCATGCCTCACGCTAGGAAAATCCGCAATGCTCTGCCTGGCGACAACAACCCTTCTGGTTAATTACTACTGCCCCAATGACACTCGACCAGACAGAAGACAATGCTGCAGTCAATCCTTGGAATATTAATTAAAGGCTAGGTCAGAGTCCGAGCACTTGCATGAATCGATCCATCAGGCGAGTCCTGGTACTCCGAGGAAGTGGGATAGCCGTCCGTCGCGCCACCACTCAGCCCGGCTAACTGGGCCGTGGCTTGGGGGAAGCTACGTATCAACCCGCTAACGCAGATCATTGACTAGCTGTACACCGATTATTCGATCAATAGAATTCAAAATCTGTCGCAGCGGGAGACATGGTGCAACCGACCATTCTTTATTCCCATCAAGGTTACATCTGTCTCGCCATCGGTCGACAGGTCTCTCGCAAACGCCGTACTGGGAGAGTTGCCACCATCCACTTTGTTTATTTTTAACAAATCGAGAACTATTTGCTCTGAGTTTCCGACTCTGGAAGATATCCTCCGAACAAATCGATGCTTTGTTGGATTTCTAAAATGCCCTTTTCAGCTGGAAAATCATGGTTGCCATCAATGAGGCAAATCCGCGAGTCTCAGATGATTCCCACGTACTCCGCACCAGTACGGAGCAGGCTCGGGGTTGATATTTCCTCGTCTGAAAGTGGCAGATGGAGCTGATCGTCAAGTTGAAGTGAGGATTCGGCTTCTTCTCCGTACCGCTTGGAACATAATGATGAAGCCGCCGATACTTCGAATGGGAAAGACTGTGTGCTCCAGCAAATGCCCAGGCTTGAGCTACACATCCGCATCTAGAGAAAGGCTAAAAACCCTCTGGAACTTTATAGTATTTCGTAAATACCAAACCCAGCTTTCCTCTTCTGTTCTAAGCACCATTTGGACTATTATGATCTAACAAGGTGCAGACTGGCTATCCTTTCCACGGATGCTAACCGCGTGGGAGCCGCATCATGAATGATACGGAGGCCAGAGTTCCGCGGATAGATATCTTCTACCATGCATACCCTATTGTTACAGCCTCTTCGGCCCACACCGGATGACCTTTCACAGACTGAGGATTGCAGCGCTGGAGTAGGGGATCTCGATCTCCACAACCCCATCGTCGCCCACCGAGATCGCCTCTCCAATCGTTACGTTCTGCAATCGAACTGGCTTACCCTGTGCCAGCTCGTAATTGTAAGACCAGCCGTCCCAGGTGATCCCCGTGATGGCGTTGCTGCCGTTCGCGATCAGCCGCTGCACTGAAACCGAGTCGGAGTACACCGATCCAGATGAAGGCAACTGGAACGTATACTTCGCGCTGGGTCTGCTCTCCACTTTCTCCGCTATCGAATCGGTTGAGGTGTAGTTGAACTCCACCAGGTTGATGACAGCCACTCGGACCAGAGAGTCATTCACGTACGCGGCATATGCGGCTTCCGTATCCGCGGCCAGCGGGAGATTGACAATTCGGACATCGTCTCCGCCGTGGAGCATGGCCGCCACCATGGCATTGCCGTAATACGGCGCCTTCGTGCCTATGGATGTACGATTCGTTCCCACTGGCTGCCAGGAGATGTAATTGTAATTACTTCCCTGATGCATATGGGTTCGGCGGATGTTCTGCGAGGCGCAGTAAAGGTTGAAGTCTACCCCCAAAGTGCAGCCCCGAATGAATTGGACAGTCCAGGCGCGCCCTGGTTGTACAAAGAGTTGGTCTCGCCCAGGATATAGGGGATGCCTGGGGTCAGGTTGTCGTTCGACAAGATACGTGAGACGTTGACCTGTTGTGCGACGCTTTCCACCGTCTTAGTATGGTTCATTAGCGTATTCTGCAGTGTTACTCCCGGCTGAGTGGCGCCACCGATGTAGCTGCATCAAACGCGACCTATTAGCCAAAGTCGACCTGTGCTCCATCCTTTCGCGTTCAGAGTACAATTGGGGCTGGGGGGCTGGGGGCTTGGCCACCACCAAACTCACTTGTGTTCGGAATTGAGGGCAATGTTCCGGCTGTTGTCTAGGCCTTTCTCCCACGTCACCACGGGATTCAAGCTGTTGGTGACCCCAGCGAATGAAGGCGCAATGTACTTCGAGTCTGCGAGCTCAGGACACGCCTCGACCAATCTCTTCTCGATCCGCGCTGTCTTGTTCAACCACTCATTCACATAGTCTTGTTCCGTCCAGTTCGCCGGTCTCCTGATGCCCTGTGCGGACGTCTTGTACAAATCCGGCTCATTCCCCAGTTCCCAATACGCCAGTTTTCCTCCTTCCAGAGCCTTACACGCCACCGGCACGGATTCTAGCATGAGCTCTATATCTGTCGAGCTATTTTTCCCCAGGTTAAAACCGTGGATGAACTTTGTGTCCGGCCAGGTAAAGTACGACTCAAAGAAGGCGGGACCAAACGATAAAATCAGCGGGTAATCCGTCGAAATGCTGGTAATGTATGTGGCATTTGTGGCTGCTCGTAGATTCGGATCATACAGGGCAAAGTCTCTGCGTGATTTAATTAGATTCTTACCCCTCCTTCCCCTCTTTGCCTAGATGGGGAAGATAGAATTGAGGATGATGGGATTGACACGTACTGAGTGTTTCCTCCAACACGAATGTACGACTTTGCGCCCTGCAACTCGGCCAGATTGTCTAGCAGGTGATTCGAGAAGAGATTCGGATGTGTTAGGTTTCCTGGGATCATCAAAATTGGTCAGAACTAATAGTACTTATATATATATATAATCAACACATTCCCCCCGCAAACTACCGATACCACAACAGAGCATAGTAGTAGTATAGCAACTAGCTCATCACCCAGGTAGTACTAGAGTTAATGAGAAAAGAGGGATTGAAATACCTGCAAAATCCGGAAAGAACGCAAATTCAATAGAGAAGGAAACAAAAGGATGCAAGACCGGCAGAGCTGCATCATCCGGAACAGATGCACTCAGACTGATTGATGAGGAGCTGCTTCTTTCATCTTGGAAGGTCGGACGAGCTGCAATGCTGTGTGCAGCTCCAAGTAGGAGAGAGAGTAATGTGATTGGACGATGATGCATTTCCGTGATACTTTTTCAAATAGAAGTTCAGCTTATTGGTGACGTCGTTCAGAGTAGTACTTCATTTGTAGTTATTGCCAATAGGTAATGATACTAGTACTTATATATGATGAAAATATATATATCACCATATATATCCTCACAACCTCGGAGAAAAAACACATAAAATACTCCACACCCCGACACTACTACTTAGCACTTAAATAGTACTCTTCCAATTGCTCAGATCCCGGGGTAGTATAGTATATTAATTAAGACCACTTTAACCGGCGGGGTTATAGGATAGCACCACCACCAGCCCTCAAGACCCTGGATGAATTGAAACCATCTATTGGAGGGTAATTGGCGGCGCGGGGGAATTCCCTCCGAATGTGCGGGGGTGATGAGAGGGGAGACACAATTGGAACTGTAATTCTTGCTGTTTGCTACGTAGTGGATGTAGATCTATTCCTTTTCTTATTCTTCTTTTCTTGTTTGCTCTTGACGGAGTCGGGTAATTGTTCGGTAGATGCGGTAATAAGGGTTCGTTTATTGTGAGGGGGTAGATGAAGCAGTAGTAGAATTAATCAACCGCTCAGTATGTAGAAATAATGAACACACTCCATGGCATTGGCATTACTATCCGCAAGGGCCAAGGAAAGCTTCTAAATGCTTAAGCACATATGGCATATACTTAACTTGTACTGAAAACGTAGTATCTCATACTAAGAGCACTCCCCTCCCTAGTAACATCTACACAAAATCCTCCCATGAACCCTCCTATCCACAAGCGCATTGACTCACTCTTCAACCATGCTGCGTCCCCTTTTTCTCTTCTGACAACATCTCAGCACAGCCAATACATTTAACCCAATATAGTCAGCCGGTTCTACACCAAATGACAGCCATGTATACGCATAAACCCCACCCGCATCATCTTCAATCCCAACGATGTTAATCTGCAATACCTCAGGGTTGAGATCATTAGCTGGAACAAGGTGATCGACTGTTACTCCGTAGTAGTCGACCATACTACTAGCATCATGCTATTAGCCATAACAAAACTAAGCAATCAATACAAAAGTGAGTACTAGCATAGTATATAATAAGCTGAGATATATTTATTACTTCTCCGGATACTTCTCCGCCATCCAACCCAAATACTCATCTCCGACTACCGGATCCCCGAGTAGTAAGTACTACAGTACTTCTTCTAAGTTCCAGACAGGCTTCGCGCCCGTAGACCGTTACATAGGCCAGAGAGGCTGGGAGTACTACTAATCATGTAGGGGTAACAATGTAGGCAGCTTTTAAGGCATCAAGAAAGCAAGTAATCATTGCATTAATCCGTAAACAGTTCAACTAAAGAGAAAGAAAAGCATGCTGCCCATCAAGCCATCGTCAGATATTCTACATAACACCGAAGGAATAAAAAGAAACAGCCTTTCAGTCGTTTAGTTATATTTACGAAGCTGTTGGGGAAGAAATGTTAGCATCCGTATGACCCCAGGCGAAGATACAACAAAAAGAGTTCTGCGGGAGGGGCAAGGGCTTACATCAAGAGTCAAGGATTTGCTGCTGTTCTCTACCTGGTCTCGGTAAATTCCAACCAGCGCTTCACTGTTCTGGAAGAGTCCGTTCTTCAGACTGATCACGATGAACTGCATGCCTGGTGCCGCGTGATCGTGGATGTAGTTGGCAATCCGGGCAACGTTGGTGTTGTCCAGCGCCGCATCGACCTCGTCCAGAACGAAGAACGGCGACGGCTGGTAGGAGTGGATGGCAAACAGCAGGGCCAGGGCAGCCATGGTTTTCTCACCACCGGAGAGGTGCTCCATGTCGCGGAATCGCTTGAGAGGGGGCATGGCATGGTATTTGATACCGTCGAGATACGGCTCGTCGGAGTCCTCGATATCGAGATAACTGTGTCGTCGTTAGCTTGCTGATGCTCTGACATAAGGATTGTGGAAACCACGTACGCTTGTCCACCCAGTGGGTAGTTGGCGCTCTTGGTCAGCTCACGATAGATGGGCCCAATCTGCTCGGAGATGTGAGAGAAGGCTTTGTTGAAGAGTTCCGAACGCTTGTGCATCACATCCTCAAAGTCATCCTTGGTCCTTCGCGCATGCTTGCGGGAGTCTTCAAAGTCCTTCTCCGTCGCCTTGAGCTTGTTCTCCACGCTCTCCAGACGCTCCATAGCGCGCGTGTTGGGCGCCATCTTGTCAAGCTCGCTGTTGAGGGACCGAACCTTCTCCAGCAGCTCCTCTTCTAACTTTTCGTCGCTCTCCTATTGACAATTAGCAAATGTTGATCAACTCCAAATTGGCATAACTCACCTCCTTCAGAGTTTCTCCCAAGGAGTCAAAGTCGACTTCAATGCCGTAGTCCTGCACCATGAAGGCCTGACCACCGCTTCCAGTACCGTCTTCATCCACATCCATGGCGTCGGGGTCTGCCGCCTGAACCAGTTCATCAATAGGAAGTTGGTCAAGCGGATTCGAATCCTCGGTCAAGGGAATGTCAATGTCTTCAAGCTTGCAACGCCGGAGTAGAGCGTATCGACTAGACGAATTGCGTTGTATTTCCGCCTCCAGGGCATTGACGTTTTTGATCGTCCCTTCGATTTCTCTGCTGCGTCTTTGGAGCTCCCGGCGGTGTTGTGCAAGGTTTTCGGCTGACTGCGCGTAAGCCTCCTTTTGCTTCTCGAGCTTCTCACGAAGAATGTCAAGCTCAGCTTCAAACTCATCGAGTTGATTTCGGATGCTCTCTTGCTCAGCTTGAAGCTCCTCAATCAACTGCTCGTCACGCTGCTGTTGTGCCTGAAGTCCAGCAACACGGTCAGCAGTTGCCTGAAGGCGCTGCTTTTCGAAGCTAAGCTGGTTTTCGATTCTGCTCTTCTGCGTCGTGAACTCGAGCTTCTTTTGAGCGGCCTCTTCCTGCAGAGAGCCTTGTTGAACCTCATATTCGCGGATATTGCTATACCCGAGGCGTTTGCAGAACTTCTTGTAAACATCATCCTCCACACTGCGGACAGTCTCTTGAGAGGTAGCGATTGTTTGATCGAGCTCCTCGAGCAACTCCTGGCGCTCATCATACTTAGGCCTTACATCCTCGAGCTGGCGCCTCACAAAGTCGAGTTCACTGTGCTTGCTTTCGAGATTTCTCTCGAGGGCCTTCAGCTCATCACGGGCGTAGGCAAGCCGTTGCTCAAGACCAACCAATTCACCCTGCAGAGTCTCCTCCTCCGTTCCTCGGCGATGACCCTTGGGCAGGTTACCCAAGTCTGCCATCAGCTTGTCCTTAAGCTTGTACAAGTTTTCGACCTCGGAATCCTCCCAGCGCTTGGAGTTCTGCTGAGGGCCGCGACCACCAGTCATCAAACCACCCTTGTGAATGACGGTCCCATCAAGAGTAACGGCCTTCGCATCAACGTTCCTGTCGTAGCAAAGATACTTGGCAGTAGCCAAATCGTCACAGACAATGGCATTTCCACAAGCGTAGCTGATGGCTCTGGCAACCGAGTCGTCATAGTCAACGGTCTCGATCGCTGGGCGCATTCCTCTGTGCAGACCCTTCAGGTTGGAGTTGAAGGCCTTAACTTGGATTGTTTCCAGAGGAATGAATGTCGCCTGTCCGGCTCTTTGGTCGCGGAGGTGCTGGATGCACTCCTTCGCTGTCTTCTCATTGTCCACAACGATGGCGTCAAAGTGCCGTCCAAGTACGGTGCTGACTGCTTCGGCGTATTTCTTCTGTTTAGGCTTGCAGAGGTCGCTTACTCGGCCTTTGACGCCCGGGAAGATCCGCTTGAGGGTCGAAATCAGTTCCTTGGCTCTTATTTCCTTCTCAGACTGCTTCTTGCCATCATCGGCCTCGAGAAGCTTCTTCAACACAACCTGGAGCTTCTCCTCAAGCTCCGTTCTCATCTGAGAGACGCGTAGCCGTTCAGAAGTTAGAGCATTCAGCTCCTTCTTCTTGCGCTCTATTTCTTTCGACGTAGACTTGACAGTATCAGTAACCGACGACTTGCGCTCGGCTAAAGTTTGTGTCTCAGAATCCAGAGTCTTGAGCTGCCACTCGGTACCTTCGAACTTGCTCTTCAGGCTGTTGTAGGCCTCGGCTTCAGTCTTGCGCTGACGACGCAGGTTGTCCAGGTTCAGCTGTTCCGCGGAAGATTTCTTGTTGACCTCTTCCCTGAGCCGCTTGTACTCCTGCTGGTCGGCTTCGCTCAATTGGCCACCTTGTTTGCTCATGGTCTTCTGCCACTCAGCTTCCCACTGAGCTTGAGCCTTCTCGACAACCTTGAGATCCTTCTCGAGCTGCTTGGCGTTTGCCGCTTGACCCTCGCGCTCCCGAGTAATCTCAGCAATCCGGGAAGTGAAGCGGTCGACCTTCTTCTTCGTAATGTCGACCTTCTCATCAACAGGTACCAGGGCATTCGTAGACTCCTCGATCTCTTTCTCCTTGGCCACGATGTTCTTCTCAGCCTTTGCAACATCTCGACCAACCCGAGCATGATCCTTCTTAGCGTCCTCCACATTCTTCTCGTATTTCTCAACGCCGCGGCGGAACTCCTTCAGCTCATCCTGATATTTCTGGATATCCGCACTCGACGCATCAATAAGGCGCTGGAAGTGGAACAACTTCCACAAGATATGCGTGATGATGGCCTGGTCGCGTTCCTCGGCCTTCCGGGCATAGTTCTCGGCTTCGCGCTTTTGCTCCTGGTATTGCTTGATTTCCGAATTGATACCTCTGCGACGGTTCAACTGCACAGTCTGTTGCTCTGCGGCTTCCTCCGCCTCCGCCTTCAAGCGCTCGTATTCGGCCTTGTATTCCAGACTTCCCGAGATCTGCTCGATCAGCCGCGTCAGATCCTTGGGTGACTGCGAGGCAATGGCCTCCACATCACCCTGGAAAACCAGAAAGTTGCGCGCCTTGATCAGGATGTTCTCCGCCTCGAGAGCCTCGTTGTACTGCTGTGCCGTGACAATGCGATTGTTGATACGGTATTCGCTGACACCTCCACTGGTGATAGACCGGCGCCATTGTTGCTCCTCACCCGCATCATCCTCGTAGACTGCCATGACCCACGCGGTCCGGGGATCGTTCTTTCCGCTTGGGTCCTGCGACTGTTCACCGTCGATTCCGTCCTCCGCTTGGTCATCCCCGTTGGCCTCTGCTTCGATAGCATTGCCGCTAGCATCGACTTTGGATGTGCGCAGGACACGGCCGCGGTATACGAGATCGCGAAGGTTCGTGGATCGTAGATGTGACGATTTGATACCTAAGACGAACGAAATCGCGTCCATACTGGAGAAGGTCAGCGCACCGTACTTTGTCTCGCTTGATTTCCTTTGTCCGCGAAATGGGGTAGAATGATACGCACGAGTTGGACTTTCCGGACCCGTTGGGTCCAATGATGGAGGTGAAGTAGGCATCACCGAAGAGAAGTACATGATGACCCTTGTACGATTTGAAGTCTAGAGCAGGTGTCAGAGCGGTTGAGAGTGCCGGATAGAGGGTGTTGCTTACTGAACAGCTCGAGCCGGATGAGCTTTCCCATCTTGCGACGGACAGCCGCGTTTCAGCGACTGTGGGAATGCAGATACAAATCGCAAGTTGATGTTGGTTGAAACCGGTGAAGGTCGCCTGGAGAATAAGGCGGCAGGCTGGAACAGCCCACAAGAGAGGGTCGGGTTTGTGGAGGGGCTCGCGCAATGGTTTATCGTCGGAGTGCGCGTCTTGATTGATTGATTGATTGATGGGGGGACGCGCTGCGGAGGGTCACGTGGTTCCGCATATACTCCGGCTACTTCTTACACAGTATTGTCCCCAGCAGTGCCCATACTCTAAATTATTTCAATCTACGGTAATTGCTCGTGTTTAATGCTTCATTCCATATATACATGGGTGTCTGACATGCCGTATAACAGGCTAATGGGAAAGTTGATAGGACAAAAAGTAGAGTAATTAGACATCAAAAGAAGGATATCATAGAGAAAACCGGACCCATCTCCTATCAGCGCCGGAAACTCACAGGATTGCCAACAAGCATAAAATCCTGTGAGACGTAGCCACCAGAGTCCATGCGCAGAACGCCCTTCTGGCCCTCCACTTCCAGAAGGATAAAGTCCTCCTGGGAGAAGATCTGCCGGACAGACCGGAACAACCGCCACATAGACATGCTCATCCTCTTGAAGGGAGCTTTAAAGAAGCTAACCTTCGCTTGCTCACCCTGAGCCACAGTGCGCTCTCCTGCAATACCAGGCGCATCCGGGATAGACTCCAAAAGCATATCCGGAGACGAATCCGGAGAGATCACCAAACGGCGGGAGAAAGCGATCTGACGCGGCAGGGCGTCAAATTCGTAGGGCTTGCGGAACGGAACCACGCTTCGCACGGTGAAGCGAAGATGTGTGTGACCGTTGACATTGACGGCCCTGATGGCGCGGATCAACCGAGTGGTCTTGAAAAGGAACACCGTACCCATAACGCTCATTGTTATGCAAATACCACCGAACAGAGCTTGCTGCCACATCGGGAGAGGTATAAGGGGATCCCGAAAGACGGCATTGGAATTGTATACAGCGTAGGCAAAACAGAAGCCCGCAATACCGTAGGCGCCCAACACGTATCCGCGTTGCGATGGCGCCCGGAACAAGACAATCTCTCCCTCCTTGGCGACCTTTCTTTCGAGCTTTCCAAATCCTTCCGGGCGTCGTCCGGCAAACTTCAAGCTGTCTTCAGGCGCCGTGCGCACCACCTTGGGCTTGATCTGTTGGGTTTTGCTGGCAGCCTTTGTTCGCGAGGCACTGGAGGAGAAATACCTCCATGCTGGGCTGGAGGACTCGAGAACGGATGAGAGAGTGCTCCGGGGACACTGCTGGGCGAATGCCCTCAAGGTAAACGGCCGCGCAAACATCTCGTCGACCTGGTATTTCCGATTGTTAGGATAGAGTAAAAGTTGGAGCGCAGGCCACAACGGGCCCCAGCCATCAATGTTCACATATTCAGGTGTCGTTGAAATAGAGCCCAACGTCTCCAAGAGGTAAACAGATTAGACTCACCAGGAAGCAAAGGAATTAAGGCCAATGGCTTGGTGCAATGGCAGGAGGTCGAGGCCGTCGTTCTCCGCGGCAGAAAAATGTTCCCGTCCGGGCCGCCGGTGAAGCTCCCAACAATAATCACCTCAACCTTCTCCGAGCTGACCCTTCCGATAGCGACGCAATTCTCCGGCTTGGAACGTCCTGCAACGCTCAGCTCGCAGATTGCGAATATACTCCGACTCTCTAGGGACCACTGTGCTTTTTCTGCGGCCCCGTTAGCCTGGTGGTGGGTTCCTATCCGATCCCAGCAAATCTCCGCCCACTCCAAGCTACAGCGCTCGCGATCCCGACGATAGCCACACCCCTCGGAAAAGACATTCACTTGTCCTATACAAACACCAAAAGCCTCGCGCATTAAACATGGCCTCCACCTTCTCGGTCTGCCGTCTTCCGGCGGCGCTTGCCCGCCGTCAATCCCGTGTTCTCAGCACATCCAAGCGTGAGTTTCCCGACAAAATACAGCTTAATATCAACTTTCCCACACCACCATATCCCTCCCTTCCATGTCCATTCTCACCCATAAATCACCCTCATATTAATTTAGCTAACATACCATTCACCACATAGGCCTGAACTCCACCTCCGCCCCTCAATTCCAGAACCCCGCCTACCCTCTGTATCCCTCTGTCACCCAGCTCCTCCATGAAAAAGGCATCCCGGAGTCCGAAGTGTCCAAGATCCCCGCGTCCGGCCCCAAGGGCCGTCTCCTGAAGGGCGATGTCCTCGCCTACCTGGGCGCCATCCCCGCCTCCTACCCTTCTGAGCAAGCAGCCCGAATTGACAAACTCGCCCACCTCGACCTGAGCAACATCAAGATCGCCGCGCCCGTCAAGCCCGCGGAGCCCGCCCCGGCCGTGGAAGAGAAGCCCGTTGCTCGTCCCCCGCCGACCACCTCCGTCGCCGTCTCCATCTCCCTGGCCGCCGTGCTGTCCGTTCAGAAGAAAATCCAAGAATCCCTGGGCACCACGGTGCCGCTGTCGACGTTTCTCGCCCGCGCTACCGACCTGGCAAACGACGACCTGCCCCGCTCTTCTCTCGAGAAGCCTTCCGCTGATGAGCTGTTCGACGAGCTCCTCGGTGCTCAGCCTATCAAGTTCTCCCGGGGAGAGTACATCCCTGAGTTGAATGCCGAGGAGGCCCGCCCGGTGCAGAAGAAGCAGAAGGTGGAGGATGATCTGATTGATTTCTTGGCTGGAAAGGTTTCCAAGAAGGCTGTTGCTACTGCTAAGAGCGTTGTCGAGCCGGCCGCGAACGTCTTCAGCCTGACTGTTCCGGTTGAGGAGGAGAAGAGGGCGAAGGTTTTCTTGGACCGCGTGAAGACCTTGTTGACTGTTGAGCCTGGCAGGCTGGTTCTATAGATCTCCATTCCTTTTCTTTTCTTATCATTTTTTTTTTGTTCCCATTTCCTTGGTTATTTCCCATTTTCACCTTTTCGTGCTGTAAGTTATGCGCAGAAGACGGGAGACAACATCTTGTCTCGTACGTATCTCTTGGATTAGTTTCATTGGGCTGATGAACCGTTTTTTATATTAGTATAACATCAATCAAGAAGATAATGAAATAAACTTTCAGTTTGGAGTTGAAAGTCCAAATTTTAGGACTACTATTTTTATAGACTGGAATCTGGACTAAATTGTTCTCAATACTGTATATCATTGAAGTTGAAGATAGTAGAAATCTACTAACAACTATGTACTAAAGTGTTATACTATCGAAGCAACCGGCCTAAATTTGCACCTCTCCGAAATTTTCTTTTTTTTTACCCTTCTGGTCTTTCATTCTCGTTATCTATGACATTGAATGTCTTTCGTTTTTCCCCCCTGCGAAACAACACGTTTCTCTTAGTAAAAGTCAAGCAACCCCCTTCTCGAAGCTCTTGGTGTGTTGTAAATCATTCCGTCGTGAAGTCTGAACGCGGGGAGAGGATTGTGTGTGTGTGGTACATCATGCAACTCTGAAAGAGGTGTATAAGCCCATTGAGTCAATCAATCAATCAATCCATCCATCACATCCGCTTGAATGTTTTGGGAGGATGGAGCAACGCCTTGGTCCTGGTTTTACCTATTCACCCTAGGAAAATACCATAAGCGCCACCGCTGAGATTCATTTCCATGGATAGTAGCGAAAACCTGCAAATAGTGAGTGCCTGCTGCAAAGACATGGGCTGGCACCTGTGCGCGGACAAAAATAAGAGTAGGCTGAGAAGAAACACAAGAGAAGAAAAGTAGAAGCAGAAACAGGCAGAGTCAGAGATACATGGAATGAGATCTTGCAGCCAGCGGAAAGAACTTATTAGAAAGCAGAACGACGCAGAAAAAGAACCCTTTAGTTACCCATGATATGCTGTTGTGTACCCCATGAGATGCGAAGAAAATGCCCAAGCTAGACCCATTTAGAAAAACAAAGAAACCCTCCTCCAGACCGTCCAAGGACAGAACCCAGCATCGTAAGAAACGCCAAAGCCTTGGAAACGCCATATCTAATGCATATTGGTAAGCCCAACGAGAAGTCAAAGGACGCCATGGCACCAAATCATTCCGAAATGAACAGCAACCTTTCTCGTCAGCGGATGGTACCCCATTCTGCTAGCTTGCTACCTTCACGTCCGTGCTCTCTGCCCGGTCGTTTGTTGAAGATCTTCCAGAACCGCAGGGTCTCATCTCCAGCCCCAGTGACGACTGTTTGGCCATCGGGGCTCATGGCCAAGTAAAGTACACGGAATGTATGACCGGTTAAAGAGACAATCTGCTCCATACGAGGGTATTTCCAGATAACGATTTGGTTCTGGCTGTAGCCGTGCGTGCTGATGATCTCATCCGAATTCTTCGACCACGCCAAGTTACAAACCTGACTGCCTGTGTCGACTTCTTTGATCAAGGAACCAGTCGACGTGTTCCAGAACTTTATGGTTCGATCAGCTGTACCACCACCGGACGCGAGAAGATGATGCTGGTGTGGAGACCAAGCGATTGCCTTGACGGCCGCAGTATGGTCGGAAAAGCGGTAAAGCGGTGTTTCGTTGAGCTTGTCCCAGACCAGCAGTTTGTTGTCGTTCCCGCCTGAGGCTAATTGACCATCTTCGGTGTTCCAACGAAGACCACATACCTCTTGCTTATGACCAGATAAGCGACGCAGGTACTGATCCGGGGAGCGGACGTCTCGATGGAAGATCAGTCGATCTCGAGAGCCGGACGTGAGGATATGATCGTTCCAAGCCAATGCTCCTACACGATTCGTGTGTCCAATCATCGTACGGAGGCGACGACAGCGCTCAGCATCCCATATTTGTACGAGACCCTTGCCTGTGCCTATTGAAAGATGTGTTCCCTACTCCAATTAGCGCTTCCGTCGAACATATTGACCAAGAACTGGGCACTCACCCTTTGTATCCAGCTAACACTGGTGACTGTATCATCTCGTAGCTCACAGAGCTTCGTCACGCGGCCTGTCTGGGAGTTCCACATGTAGACCGAGTTGCCTAGGCCCACTCCAAGAACGTTACTGCTGCCCCAGTCTACTAGGTTGAGATAGAAATCATCTTGCAGATCGGGCGCATCAAGGACCTTGTAGGGTACCTTGTTCACATAGCGAGGCTGTTTCCGAGGC